GCCATACACATTTAAGGCCTGAAGAAGCTCACATGACTCGGTGGTCGAAATGCGTTGTCACAGCGTCGTGAATCCCGTGTCCCGGACACTTAGGCACCTCCACGTGGCTTTTTCCATTTGCTGCGCCACACCAAATTGGCTACTGCAGTCTTATGCCTCTGCATTCCTGCAACATCATCACACAGCGGACCCGGAATCATCTGTATGAGTGACCGTATCCGGAGTGGTGAGCCCTAATATCAAGACCAGGTTGTATCTGCATGGGGGTCAATCCCTTGGATTGTGACTGTCTTGTCTAGTTTCACATACCTGGCTATTTCTCTTATCTGTATGAAGCGGCATGCTGCGCTCTAGTATACTTCCACCCATGGATGGGTCACTGTCATTGGTTGCTGCTGTCTACATGTGATGGAATCATACCCTCAGTGATATTATTACACTCTATATGCTTTGCCTGCAAGTGGAGATCATTCATGCAGGACTATATGCAAGTACTGAGGACATATATTCTTCCAAGATTGATGGACTGCCTCTATCATCATTCATAGGATACACATGTCTATGTGTTACTCATATATATATATATATTTGGGCCCACAATCTCATATTTTTGCTGTGGACATAATTGCATTTACATTCAGCATCTTGCAAACAGGGCCTTATATTTTTCATGGTTCCATTCCTGTATATCGTATAATCTAGTGTGTGTCTATGTGCCCGGGCAAGTGTTTTTACTATATGGCAACGTTGTCATTGTGTTTTAAATTGTGCATGGTGGAGGGGTAATTGCATTATTACTTATTGGATGTTAATAAATATTTTAAAGCCGCAGAATTGTTCTCTTTGGGACTTATTATTGTGGGCCCTTTACCCACACGTTTGTTTTGTATCCCATACTTACAAGCCTAATGTGCCTAATGTTAGACCCAGTTCTACATGTTACTGATGAATTCCATGGGTACCACACCATAGTGTTGCTTTCTGTTCAAGACAGGCCTTTATAGGACATGTGCACATGGGTGCCCTGGGGGCAGAGCAATATAATATGGAGAATTATAGCTGGCCATACACAATTTAGGCCTGTTGGCACCTTTGTAGTGCGATACCACACACACATTAACTCCACTGCTTTAAGGCAGCCCATTTTAGTGAATAAGCTTTCAATGCTCCCTATCCCACTGAAAACTGGACCCTTACCCATTCTTCTACATACAGCACACCATAGTGGTCAGAGTTGCGTTGCCATGCGTTGGAGAGTGCCACAATGCACATCTGCAGGTCCTTGTACTATACTAGTTATTGGTCTAAAGAAGAATGTACAATCACAGTATAATACATGTAGCCAACCTTATGTGGGACTGCACTGTATCTGAGCACCACAAACCAAAAGTGCAATGTGATTCATTTTTAATATTCAGAGAAAACTCCCCCATCCATCCATGTCTCCATGCTTTATTTTGCTGAGAAATCACTCCACCAAGTGTTTCAGGTTGTGGCCATCTTGAGAAAGGGCAAGTGATTCATGTAGCATTTGCTTCAGGAATCCATCTGCCCTTAGCTCAAGCATGCAGGCAGGAGGATGTGCTTAGCTGAGAAAACTCTCATCCTGAACACTCCTGGGATGTATGACATCATTTGCCTAGGCATGGAAACCAGGAAGTAACTAAAAAAATGTAAAATACGGTTTAAAGTGTTCCTAAACTCACAACAGTAAAATCAGTCTGTATATACAGTAAAGCCTGCTTGTTATACTCACTGTGGGGGTTAATCCTCTACACTGTGTAAAAAGGATGTTTGTTCCTGTCTTCTCTGATCCTCCCCTTTTTCTACAATCTCCAATTCATCTGCTTATAGAACAAAGCCTAGGGGGAAAGCTGCACATGCTCAGTTTGTTGTATATTGCAAGAGTTTTTTTTTTTCTTGGGAAAGTGTATGTGATCTGCACAGAGCTAATCAGCACTGCCCACACAAAGGGTCAGGGGTTATGCAGCCTAAAAGGACAGTCAGAGGAGAATGAAAACTCATCCTACAAGATTAACCAGTACTCAGCTGGACACTGAAAAAAGTCACAAGACTGCTATATACTGCTGATGAGAAAAGATATTTAGCAGTTTATATTTACTAAAATAATTGCTTTTCCATGTTGTGTGTACTGTGGTAGACCAGATATAGCGAATGCAGGGTTTTGGGTTTAGTAACACTTTAAAACAAGTAAATATGATATACTTTTCTATTTATTTATCAATGCTAGCAGCATAAGGATTAAAAATAGTCAATGTTGACGGGGAGTGAAGTTCCATTTAATGTCGTGTATTTGTTGCAGACTTGCCATAGAGTTTGCTATAAGCAGGAACTGATTAGCATCAGCTGATCAATATATACTTACACTGGAAATGTGTCTGACGCATATGTTTTGCTGTTTCTGTTTTGCAGTGGACTTGACAGTTCCATCGAGCACAGTGCTGACGCAAGCCACCCCAATGAATTTTCACCTAATCCAGCGTCACAGCCAGCAGTCGGACACCGCACTGCTGAACATAAAGCAGGCCCAGCAAGCTTTCTTCTCAACCATCACTCCGCAGCACCATATAGACCCCAAGATAAGGGTATTTTTCCTTTTTGTTTCCTTGTCTTTGTTTTCTGGAGTACTTTTAAATTTCCTAGGTTGTACTGATTCCTGACACAGTTACTGAGCCATGACAACACGCATTGTTTTATCAGTGTAGGAGTTGGGTTGGTTAATGAAAGGTGTATGCATAAATTCCCCTTTTTACGTATTACATTTTCCAAGCAGTGTTGCAGAGTACTTATGTAGCGAGACCTGACAGTGACACAGCTACACTTCAGTGCCAAGCTCTTCATTCCATAACAATCTGATGGGGATATGAGTAGATTAGAAGTAATATGGACCTCACTATGTCTTCCTTCGCTGATCCTTACTCTTCGTTTCCCAGGTGGACTGTCGGAATACAGACCATGGACGGCAGGAGCAAAGCTTGAGGCATCTGGTCAACAAGGATAAAAACAAAGGCAGTATGGGAACTTTCTATATATTTCATTTTTTTATTTCATTTTAAAATGTCATTTACCATACAAGTAGATTTGTTTTGCTTTGAAAGGAATGTGGTTTAGTAAGGAAATGGGATCCTTGGACATATGCACCAGACTTCATTGTTTGACTAGTCTAAAGTTGGCCATAGATGGATTGAATCTCAGTTGGTTCAATAGGGATTGGCTGAGATTCCATTAATCTATGGGGGTAGGCTGGTTGTTCTGCAGACGATCCATTGACCGACTTCAGTACAACCAGCCTGTTGGACTTTTTGTATGCGATTACTTCCTGCGGGGAAGGCTGCCTGCCAGCAGAACACAGTAGCTCCCCGGGAGGCATTCCCCATCAGCACTGACTGTGTTGATGGAGAAATCAAGCGATTTTCTTTCCTCCACACATGGTAGAAGGAAAGAAAATTGTGTCATTAATGGCTTGCTTAAGCTGATGCATGGCTTTCAGAAAATAAAACTTTCAATGCTGAAAGTCATTTTTGCAATATGTGCCTGTGTGTGGATCAAATATCCCAAAAGGATGGAAAGACAAAATAACCTGTTAGAACTTTTCTATGACAAAGTCACACTTAAGGATTATCAGGGGTAAGCAGGAGTCGGTTTCTCAACATACCCTGGGTCGTAAGAATTCGGGGTAATGAACTGCAGAATTTATTATGTCCATATGAAGCAAATATCGTGACCAATTGGAAGTTCTTGACTATGACTAGAAGCGCAATACTTTCTCACTCCAGCCTCTCACCAACATAAAATGGTTATTAATATAAATCACCAGATTATTATTATTATTATTATACAGGATTTATATAGTGCCAACAGTTTGCTCAGCGCTTTACAATATAATGGGAGACAATACAGCAAGAATACAGTTCAATACAAGAGGGTTAGGAGGGCCCTGCTCCTTGGAGCGCGGTGCTGCAAATGGTTATACTGACGAAAATATCAAACTTTTTAAAGGGATATGAACTGTGTTTGCATTTAGGTTTTTTTTTTTTTTTTTTAATGTGGCTTAGGTATTGAATACTAAATCAAAAAAGAAAAAGTTAATTTGGTAAATCTTCATATAAAGCCTAGTTGCCTTTTTTTTTGCTTATTGCCATCTAATCTAATTTATACAAGAAAGAACAAGCTGACTTGTTTCTTTTGAAATTTCCAAGGCAAGTGCGCCACCTACTGCCTCAAACTGTTTATGGTTTGTTGTTGCTCACTAATATTTCTAGAGTTCTCGAGAGATACAAGAATTCTGCTCTAATACGGTTATAAGCTATCCATTGACTCATCAATTTCTGCTTACCGAGCTGTAAGTCTCTGGCAAGGCAGGAGTACGGTAGCCTGCTTTGAGAATACAATGAGCATGCACATGAAATGTGCTCTTTAAGCAGCTCAGAAATGTGTATGCAATAATGAATCACAAGTCTTGTTTGCTGAAACAACTTCTTTTTGAGTGTACATCCCCTGATCTCACCAGAATAGGCAAACAGGGATTCAGAACTGAATAATTTTTCCCTGCTGTAATGCAGATTTATTATTTTTTCCCCCATTATGCTTTTTATGTGGGGTGTTGAAGCAGATTTATACAGCCCTAGCTGTGCTGAACTCGTTACATGCAGTGCAGGGCCAGAACAGACCTAAATAAAGCTCCACTGGAAGTCAACATGTTCGGCATCTTTTATCTGGTTGGTCAATCACAGTGTGGGAAACTCCTATGCTTTATATACCTATACACTGTGTGCAGGTTTGTTTGGCAGGAAACATTAAAGTGTTCATGTATGAAATATGACAATCCAAAGAAAACATATCAACACGTGTCTAGGTAGGTTGTCTTTCGTTATATGCTTGGACAGTATGTTCTGTGTATGAAGATAAACACACCCTCTATAACTGGAATTAGTTGTCACTATTGTTTTCTGCTTTTATATTCTGTGGTCCTAGGTGCCATGGCCAGCCCAGCAGTGAAGCAGAAACTGTTGGAGATGATTCGGAGCAAGCAGCAAGTAGCACCCCCCTGCAGTAACATCATAAGGTAACCGTAACTGTGGTCAAGTTATTCTTCCATGTGGAGAGTTCAGTACTGGTTCTAATATAGAGGTCTTTCCCTATCCACGTTTTATTCTGTATTGAGCCTTGATGAAATGGGAGTGGTGTTGTGCCCGAAACATGTTGGATGTTTTTATGGCTTTTTTTTTTTTTTTTTACAACAATTAGTTATCTATGGCTTATAGGTAACCATATCTGACATTATTTTACACCCATCCATGTATTTGTTACTGTATCACTCATATGATCCAATCGGCAACCTTGGCACTCCAGAAGTTTTGGAACTACGACTTCCATGCCAAAACTGACTGTCATAGGCATGGCTTCCAGAGTCGGAGGTTTGTTTGGGATTTGTAGTTTCACCACAGCTGGAGCGCCGAGGTTGTCTGTCACCATTCTAATGGATAAAGAGAACGCTGGAAGAATCATTCATAATAGCCAATCAGGTTCCAAGTGTCATTCTTTCTTTCAAAATGTTAACGTATGTCTGGTTTGTTGTGTTTTCTTTATTTTTTTAGGAGACCCTTTTGCTAACATTTCTATGCTATTATATTTTTTTACTGTAGTGTTAAATGACTACAGCTTTGTAATTATAGGATTTGTTAAGTGTTGTCACAAATCAAGTAATTGATATGTTGACTGGTATGGGCAGTACTGTGGCTCCCACAATCTAAAGACATGCTGGTAGGCTAATTGTCTCCTATCTAAAATGGCCCTAGTATGTGTATGTAGCAATGTGAGATAAACACATAGCAACATAGAAGAGTAGAAAAAAACCCTGTGCTCCATATTTTTGGTAACTTTTTTTTTTTCCATAAGTATAAATCTATGTTTGTCCCAAGTATATATGAATCCACTTACAGTTGACTGACTCACTACCTCTGCTGGAAGTCCTTTCCAAGCATCAACTACCCTTTCAGTAAAGTAATATTTTTTAAGACTAGCTTTGAACTTTCATCTTGCTAGTCTGAGGTCATGTCCCCGTGTTCTTGATCTTGGCATCATATTGAAATACCTTCCCTCCTAAACCTTTTTCACCCTCTTGATGTATGTAGAGGTTGAGGTAAGCGCTGAACCTAGGGCAGGTGAGTGTCCTAATATTAACAGTCAATAGCTACAGTTTTTGTAGCTGCTGACTGTTAATTTTTCTAACAATGACTGCAGAACCTCTTTAAGTTTCTGAACTCTTTTCTGATACATGTTATCTCTTGTATCTCTATGATATCTTATCAATATAATGTAGTGAGGTCTCAGAACTGGAAACAGTATTCTAAATGAGGTATCACTAAATATCTATAGAGGGGTTCCTTCTACTGGTGACCCCTTTTAGACTATAAGCTCCTTGAGGACAAGGGGCAAGTGATTGTAATGTATGTAAAGTGCACTGTATTGAAACACATAAATGTAGAAGTACAATATACGATAAATGATATAATCAAAGTGTAAAGCATATAAACATCAATAATGAAAGTGGCTGTGTATTTATTTTCAGGCCTCCTGATTTGATTGAACCGGAACCTCATCCTCCTCTGCCCACCAACTTCATTCCTCAGGATGTTGCCAGCAACTGTAATCCTTCTGAACATTTTCCTCTCAGAAGAACAGGTAAAGTTATTCCCTTCAGCTGCCCCCAACTAATGATAAAATGGAGGTGGCAGAGCTATATTGGTGAGGATATATATATATATATATAAATATAGTGAAGGAAATAAGTATTTGATGCCCTGCTGATTTTGAATGTTTGCCCACTCACAAAGAAATGATCAGTCTAGAAATCGAATGGTAGGTGTATTGTAACACAGAGACAGAATAGCAACAAAAAATTCAAAAGAAATGTGTGTAACAAATGATGCACAGATTTACATGTTTATAAGGGAAATAAGTATTTGATCCCCCATCATTCAGCAGGATTCTGGCTACCAGGGTTCTTTCATACAGATAACAAACTGAGATTAAAGTTCTTAAAGGGAGTGCTGCTAATCTCCTTTTGTTACCTGTATAAAAGACACCTGTCCACAGGAGCAATCAAACAATCAGATTCAAACTCCACCATGGCAAAGACCAAAGAGCTGTCCAAGGATGTCAGGGACAAGATTGTAGACCTACACAAGGCTGGACTGGGCTACAACACTATCGCCAAGCAGCTTGGTGAGAAGGTGACAACAGTTGGTGCAATCATTCGCAAATGGAAGAAACACAAAACAACTGTCAGTCTCCCTAGGTCTGGTGCACAGTGCAAGATCTCACCTGGTGGAGTGTCAATGATCATGAGAACAGTGAGGAATCATCCCAGAACTACACGTGAGGATCTTGTCAATGATCTCCAGGCAGCTGGGACCACAGTCACCAAGAAAACAATTGGTAACACACTACGCCAACAAGGACTGAAATCCTGCAATGTCCACAAGGTCCCTTGCCACTGAACATCTGAATGATGCAGAGGAGGACTGGTTGAAAGTGTTGTGGTCAGATGAGACCAAAATCGAGCTCTTTAGCATCAACTAAACTCGCCGTATTTGGAGGAGGAGGAGTGCTGCCTATGACCCCAAGAACACCATCCCAACTGTCAAACGTGGTGGTGGAAACATTCTGCTTTGGGGGTGTGTTTCTGCTAAAGGGACAGGACAACTGCACCCCATCAAAGGGACGATGGACGGGACAATGTACCGTCAAATCTTGGGTGAGAACCTTCTTCCCTCAGTCAGGACATTGAAAATGGGTCGTGGATGGGTGTTCCAGCATGACAATGACCCAAGACACACGGCCAAGGCAACAAAGGAGTGGCTCAAGAAGAAGCACATTAAGGTTCTGGAGTGGCCTAGCCAGTCTTCAGACCTTAATCCGATTGAAAATCTGTGGAGGGAGCTGAAAGTTCGAGTTTCCAAACGTCAGCCACCAAACCTTAATGAATTGGAGAGGATCTGTCGAGGAGTTGGCCAAAATCCCTACTGAGATGTGTGCAAACCTGGTGGCCAACTACAGGAAACGTCTGACCTCTGTGATTGCCACAAGGGATTTGCCACCAAATACTAAGTCATGTTTTGTGAAGGGGATCAAATACTTATTTCCCTCATGAACATGCCAATCAGTGCATAATTTGTCAGACATGCATTTCTTTTGAATTTGTTGTTGCTATTCTGTCTTTAAGTGTTACAATAAACATACAATTCGATTTTTAGACTGATCATGTCTTTGTGAATGGGCAAACATTCAAAATCAGCAGGGGATCAAATACCTATTTCCTTCACTGTGTGTGTATATATATATATATATATATATATATATATATATATATATATATATATATATAAAATCACCTTACAGTGTACCTTTAGAATTTTCTGTGGCAGGTCACTGTACAGACAAATTGCAGGCCATTACACAGTCAGGACTGAATAAAGTTTCCCGTTTCTTGTTCAGGCAGACAAACTTAAAAGTATATTATGTATTTAATTCTTTAACTACCTCAGCAAGAAATTATTTCTTTTTACTTAATAATAATTTGGTGCTAATATTGTTGAAATGAAACTTATGCTAAAAAAGGTTAGCGTGAGACCTATGAAAACATATTTGTGGTGCAAGGTCTTCCACTAGATGACTTGAGGAAACATGTTTGTGTTCACACTATAAGGTCTTCGTTCCTTTTTTTACTTGAGGAACAGCTCTGTGCCTTTAGTGGCCGGTTCACACTATAGAAACGTGGTGTGTTTGATGCATTTTTGACACATTCCAGTGCGTTTTTTTTTATGCCTTTCAGTTAATTTTTTCCCCTCTCTTTTTCTTCAATTTAAATAGGGACATGTGCATTTCAGTACGTTCCAGTGCTTTTGTGATGCGTTTTACCACGTTCCAGTACAGTTCTGTGCAGATAAAATGCAGCCTGTTCTACTTTTTTTCTGCAATTGGAACGCACTGGAACTGCAAGCACTGATGTGAACTATGACATTGACAACCATCTAACTGCGTTTTGGATGCACAAAAAAAGCAACTGAAACGCATGTAGTGTGAACTGGCCCTTAAAGGAGAAAAGTGAATTGTTTATAACACAGCATTGCCTCATCTCTTATTAACTGGCTGAGTCCTGTACTTTAGCAGGCAAAGCAAGCTGTTGTGCTGTACTCTGGGAACCCTTTGTCAAATGTTAATGTTTATATGTAAAACAGGTCATCTTTAGACCATGAAAAATTATATAAACTAAAGTACGTTTTATAAACCCTTGTAGTTAAGCCTTTTTCCTGATTTCTGACTTGCTTGGGAACCATATAGCATGTAATTTTAGATTATTTCAATACATGTTCCAGATTTCATATAATACATCAGGAAATCACTTCAGCGTTCAAGTTCTGGTACGTTGTAACAACCCAGCCAGAACTTGGCGGAGGTGCTTTTGAGCTCTTAACATTTAGAATTGTGCCCTTAATTTCCCTGCAGCCTCTGAGCCAAACTTGAAGTGGCCTTGCAGACCCAAGAAGTCGGGGGAGAGGAGGAAGAACCCACTTACACGCAAGGAAAGCGCTCCACCTGCAGTTAGAAGAAGACCCCCAGAAACACAGGGTGGGTGAATGACACATCAGAGGCGGTAACATGTCTAGATTTTCATTGCTGTGATCACAGGCATTATTGGCACATTTGAGATTAGCCTGTTTTATACCCAACCAGTTTGCTCAAATAATGCAACATCTTAAAGTAGCAATAAACCTTAAGACTGGGAACAATCGTGTGCATAAATCTATATACAGTGCTTGTTTTGGTCCAACAGGCCTACTAGTATTTAAATAAGAACTTTGATTTAAAAAAAAAACATGCTTTTATTGGTGTCCCCAAACCAGTAACTGCCAGAACACATGTGAAGAAGGTTGTGTGTACCATGTTCCCTTCTTAACATAACAGTCACAGCAGGTCTGAATCAGGAAAAACTGCCATGGCGTAATAGTACTTTATCACATACAATCTGTGCTGTCAGTCAGCAGGATGTAGTGGTGGGAATGGACAGCTTTGTTGGTTTATAGTATGGGAGGCCGGGCTGCAAATTAAGTGGTTCCAAAGGCAGAATGTTTTTTATCTTCATATATTCTATGCATGAAGATAGAAAACCTTTTGGGTGCAGCTCCCCCTCGGCCCCCCCTCCCCTTATACTTACCTGAGCCCCATCTCGATCCAGTGATGTGCATGAGAGCAGCGGCTCTCCCGGGTGTCTCTCTCCTCATTGGCTCACAGAGCAGTGGGAGCCATTAGCTCCTGCTGCTGTCAATCACAACCAGTGAGCCAAATGAGCAGAAAGGGGAGGCAGGGTCGAGCTACACTCTGTGAATGGACAATCTGAGGAACAAGCCTGCTGGAGTGCCCCCATAGCAAGAGGCTTGCTATTGGGGGTAATCGCCGGGAAAGGGGGGGGGTGGAGAGCCAGGCAGGGGACTCAATAAGAAGAGGATCTGAGCTGCTCTGTGCAAAACCATTGCAGGAGGTAAGTAAAACATGTCTGCTATTTTTTTTTTCTTTTTAATTTATCCTGTTAGAATCACTTTAGCTATCTACTTATAACAACAAAAGTAGGCGGAATTGTCAAAATGGGTGTATTTTAATTTTTGTTTTATTTGCGTCTATTTTCCCAACAATTTTTTCTTTTCTTTGGTTCTTTTCCAATCCTCTTAGAGACTGTTGTGTTAAGGTTAGCTTGTCATGCTGATGGAGAAATCCCACCACCCTCTCTACTGCTGCTTTTTCTGACCCTGAATCAGAATGGCAATGGCAATTTGTGGACTTCTCACTGCCAGACACCCCTTACTGTGTCAAGAGTGCTGAGAGAAATGATTGTACTGTGTGTGTACATATATATGTATATATATATATATATATATATATATACAGATTCTGTAATGACACGCGTGTATTTGATGTGAATTATTTAAGGTCCCTTTTAATTAATATAGATCCTGTATTAAAAATCACTGCAGGTCTATGATTGCACTGCCATCAGAAAGGTATTGTCATCATGTAGACACTGAATCTGTTCTGTTTCATTACAGACTCCTCTCCCAGCAGTAGCAGCACTCCAGTGTCCGGCTGCAGCTCACCAAATGACAGTCTGGCTGCTGAGAATGGAAGTTTGTCCTCCTTGCCTGGAGCTGCCTCGGAGGTAAGGGCAATAATGAGTGGAACTAGAGCAATTTATAATCCATGAATACTTAGGTTCATAATAGTGACTGATAATATCTGGTTCAGGGGTGTGCCAGATGCTAAGTTGCATGTAGGACTGTGTGTACACCTGACACTCATTTCTGTCCCTGTTGTGAGTACTGCTGCCATCCTCGTGGCCTGTGAGCTTGTATAGGCCATCTGTCTGCTATTTCCAAAACAGAATATATATTGCTTTTAATAAATAATTTGACAGTAGCTTAACTTGTAACATTACCTTCTTAAAGTGCTGCTAAACCCACAACAGTAAAATCAGTCTGTATATGCATTAAAGCATGCTTGTTATACTCAGTGTGGAACCTAAGGGGTTAATCCTCTGCATTGTGTAAAAATGCTGTTTGATCCTGACTTCTCTGCCTTTGTTTAAATGTCCACACTGATAAGACAGACTGAACCCGTAGCCCTTCAGCACATGCTCAGTTTAGTGTGTATTGCTAGAGAGGTTTTTTTCTTGGGAGAGTTCATGTGATCAGCACAGAGTCAATCAGCACTGTCCAGACAGAGGTCAGGGGTCCTGCATCCTCATAGAGCAAAATTAAAACTCTTTCTACAAGCTTTAACATGTGCTTTGCTGGACGCTGATGGAAGTCACGAGACTGCTCTAACTACTGATGAGAAAAGGTATTTAGCAGTTTACATTTACTAACATAATTGTATTTCCATGTTCTGTGTACTGTGGGAGATCAGATATAGTGAATGCAATGTCATGGGTTTAGTAACAGTTTAAAGGATAAATGTGCTTTTAAGTAGGACTAAAGCTCAGCAGCAGGCAGATGATATCTAGCCAAAGGGTAATGGGTACCTCCGAAGCAGAATATACAGGTCATTGCCCTTCTTGGCCCATATGAGACCAACATATCATTGACATATGTGGATACTTTGCGTAGAATCTGTGAAGTAGGCAGAATACTGGAGAGGCATATGAGGTGGTGGAGTTTGTGTCAGGCTGGCTGTTATTCTCTGTGAGCCATCCTTACAAAATTCTGGCACCACTGTTTTCCATTAGAGTATGCTGCCCACCTCTCCTACCTTGCATGAGCACACAGCATCCATGCAGAGAAATACTGCACTGGCCGCTAAACAAGCTGGAAAGTGCAATGAATTGGTTTATAGGCTAGTGGTACCTGCTCCCCTTTTTTCTTTTTTTTCTTTTTTATTTACCACTTTTAATACATCGGACATGCTTTCTCTTCATTTCCATAAAATTTCAGCAGTTGCCTTGACAATGTTAAGCAGTATTTAAGTGGTAAGTATTCTGTTGTACTAAGTGTTATGCATTTATAATCCCATTATAATCTGTACCCATTTTAGGCTGAGATGGAACGGAGGACCTTGCCAAGCCTGATACATCGAGTGCCACTTCTGACACATCCCACTGTGTACATGCCAGGTATAGAAAGCCATGATGGTACGAATTCCCTGGCACCTCGTCTTCAACCTGTCATCATTCTAGAGCCTACACATGCACCAATGGTTGCAAGTATGTCGTTTTGATTATAAGTCGATGATTACAATGTACATACAGATGAGCTTGTTTCTGAAGATGTTCCTGCTGTTGTATTTCTGTATCTCCCAAGCTCCTCAGACAGACAGCTGCCTGGGAGAAATGTTTGTCAAATCATAGACCTTTTTGTAATATTCTAAAATACCATGCAGCTATAAGACTGCACAAACACACAATCAGGGTGAGAAATTCCCTACAACCACATTGTACTAATCGCCCTCAACTTTGCATACTGTGTGTGTGTCACTCAGCCTATGTAAGTGGTTTTTGTGAAAGAAGAAAGTCAGTTCATCTTTTTTAAAAACGGCGTTTCTCTAATTATTACTTGTATTCGCAAAATGGTGAAGCATGCTAACAGTATTTCAAATTGGCCATTGGCTCCCGCTGCGTCAATCTCAGCCAGTGAGCCAATGAGAGGGGATGGGGCCGAGTTGCGGCTCCATTTGTGAATGCTGTGGGGCACCCGACAGAAGGGAAGGGCCAGGAGCGCCTGCAGGGGACCCGAGAAGAGGAGGATCCAGGCTGCTCTGTGCAAAACCACTGCACACAGCAGGTGAGTATAGACCTGTTTGGTTTTTTTTTTTTAATTCAAGCCTTTAGAATCACTTTAAGTAACATTTTAATAGAATGACTGTAGTAAAGGCTTTTAATTAATAAACAAACTAAACACAGTAATAAAAATACTAATTGGGTTTTGCTTTTGTGAATTGATTCGTATAGGTTTTATTACTGGAAGACTGATGGGCAATGCTTATCATCTGCAGCATTGTGTAGATGCGCTTTACGCTTTTGATTTCACAGCCTAACTTCCAGAAAATGATTGCAAGTAGATGCTGTTTGCTGACGCGTTTCCCACATGCTAGCTATTATTTTGTTTAGTCTCACAAACTTGCAGACATCATCGGGTTGTTTTTTTCTAATGTGCTTATTATGCAAAATGGCAAACCCACCAATTTAATTAAAGGTACTCTGCTATTAGTGGTGTGCACTAGCTGTGACAGTAATTAAACTGAAGTGTTGTACTTTGTAAGCCATTAGTTCATTTCCGATAGCTTGGGTTCACAGCACTTATCAGAGGGCTGGATAGAATTCACTGCGAGCGTTCCAAGTGTGTCTTTGGTAGATGCAAAATCATCCCAGGAGACTGTCAAGATTATTTAAAGCTACAATTCATGCAGATGAATAAAACACACATTATTGCATCATGGTAATTGTTAATCTAATCTTAAATGGATTTATTTTTAAAATTGTGAGAACATGTAAGAACCTGAATTTGACATGGTAACTCCTCCTGCAACAGAGCTCAGACTGGGGAAGGAGAAGCAGCACAAGACGCCAGACCATTAAGGCAGTTATAGATGGTTTGAAACCTGCTAAACTAGCTGAGATTTAATCCATCTATGAGCAGGCTGATTGTACCAAAGTCGATCCATCGATCGACTTGATTGCAAACAGCATGTCGGATTCCTAGCATGCGATTATTGCCAGTGGCAATAATCGTTGTATTCTTCCAGCAAGGATGGCTCTCCCCCCCACCGGGAGAACACAATAGCTCTCTGGGATGGATTAGAGTCAGTGTTGATGGGGGAGTCGCGTTATTTTCTTACTTGCAACTCATGGTTGCAGAAAAGCAAATCGCATCATCTATGGCCTGCCTTAATCTACAGTACAAGAAACATGCTGATAGCAGTAGAGAGCGAGTAGATTGACAGAGATGATCTCGCTGGCTTCCTGCTTCTCCATTTACTGTCCATTTACACTGGGGGGGGGGGGGGGGGGGGGGGGAAGGGGGGCTCATAGAAAAAAAAACATTAAGTGCTACTGAACATCATTAGGGCTCTTCTATCAGACAGGGTTGTGCTGTGTGGCAACACAAGTACAAATCGTTTGGGAAGTGTAACAAACCTTAAAATGTATTTCATTTATACTTAGCAGTTTGCATTGACTTATAAAAATGAACTCCAGGCAAAGTGCTGTGATATATGAAATGTAATAACCCCCAGCATTCATGGTTTCTCTAATCTAATTGGTGGTCATAGGTTTACTGTGCACTTAATTGGCTTATTAAATAAAACCTTATGTATGGCCTTAACTGCGTGTATGCCTGGGTACCCCTTATATTGTACACTACATGTAGTAATGTGTCCTTGTGGCAATGTACTTAAAGTTCCCTGATTTCAGAGCAGATTTTATCCGTCTGGCAGTGAGCATTCATGCAGAATTATTGTTCTTGGGAATTTTCTTGTTATGATATGTCCTCTCTGCCACCTTGTGGTTTAAGGGAATATCACGCTCCCAGATGTAAAAATTGGAATCTAGAATTCTATCTTCTCTCTTTCTTTCTTCAAGGTTTGAGTTCTGTACCATTGCAGTTCACCCATCCCCTTATCAGCCCTGATCATTTGTCAGCTTCTGGGCACCACAAAGCCTTAAGTCGGACCCGTTCTGAGCCGCTTCCTCAAAATCCTAAAACACTCCAGCAGCAACTTTTCCTCCAGCAGCAATATGCAGCATTTCCTGATTATTTGAAACGGACAAATAAGGTAAGCACAGGATATGATATTAGCTACTTAGTATTGGGCCTCCTTTTCACACAGCAGCAAAAGTAGCTGTATTAGTTAAAGTGTATGTATAGCCAGTACTTTTTTTCATTCCGGACAGAGAATTTTGTTTGTTGATTTCCTTCTCTACTCTAACTCACTTACCAGCCAGCCTGCAAAAACTGAATGAATCCTGTCTAACACATCACAGTAAAAAAAGGGGTTTATATGCAGAAGCTGCAGATGCCACATCACGGCACCCCATGTGCTTCTTGCTGCAAAGGCCAGTAATAGGTGCAGGGTGGTTGCCATTTGTTTGTACTGATGAAGGGGACGCACTGAATACCTTCGCTGCCATTGTGCCCTTGCTTGGTGTCCAGTGTGTCCCTATACCTTTTAAGGAAGTGTGGGCTCCTTCCCTTAATCTATCCATTATTATATACAGTTGTGTCCAAAATTATTCAACCCCCAATGCTGTAAAGGGGTTTAGGGACTATAGTGTACATTTGGAATTGTATTCAGAATCAAATCCTACAAGGACGTTGTAACTACCCAAATGCAACTAAAATGACATCAATTGTTTATGTAATACAGTAGTAAATGGTTCTTATGTGCGGGTGTTTTCTTCATTGCCACAATTATTCAAACCCCTTAAAGACTACCACTCTGAAGAACAGAGGTTCATACAGGTGCTTTCCATCAGGTATTGAAAACACCTGTGGATGTCACACCGAGCAGCAATCAAGCATAATAAGCACCAATTAGGCAGCTTTAAAATGACTGTGATACTCAGCTCCTTCTAGACATTTACTGGTGTGGTTACAAACATGGTGAAGGCAAGAGAATGGTCCAGGAAGACTAAGAGGTGATTTCTCTTCACAGGAAGGGCAATGGCTATAAGAAGATTGCAAAGATGTTAAACATACCAAGAGACACCTTAGGAAGCATCATTCGCAAATTCAAGCAAAGGGCACTGTTGAAACGCTACCTTGTTCGTGGCAGAAAGAAGATGCTGACTTCTTCGACTGCTGTACTGAAGCGTAGAGTGGAGAGAAGTCCCCGTGTGACTGCTGAGGAACTGAGAAAAGATTTGTCAGATGTGGGTACAGAAGTTTCAGCCCAGACAATAAGACGCACACTGCGTAATGAAGGCCTCCGTGCCAGAACTCCCAGGCGTACCCCCTTGCTGTCTCCAAAGAATAAGAAGAGTCGACTGCAGTAGTAAAAGCCATGTGGACAAACCACAAAAGTTGTGGGATTGTTCTGTGGACTGATGAAACAAAATTAGAACTGTTTGGGCCCATGGATCAACGCTATGTTTGGAGGAGGAAGAACAAGGCCTATGATGAAAAGAACACCTTGCCTACTGTGAAGCATGGTGGAGGGTCAATCATGCTTTGGGGCTGTTTTGCTTCTGCAGGTACAGGGAAGCTTCAGCGTGTGCAAGGTACCATGAATTCTCTTCAGTACCAGGAGATATTGGATGGAAACGTGATGCAGTCCGTCACACACCTGAGGCTTGGGAGACGTTGGACCTTTCAACAGGACAATGATCCCAAGCATACCTCCAAGTCCACTAGAGCATGGTTGCAGAGGAAAGGCTGGAACATTTTGGAGTGGCCATCGCAGTCACCAGACTTAAATCCGATTGAGAACCTCTGGTGGGACTTAAAGAAAGCAGTTGCAGTGCGCAAGCCTAAGAATGTGACTGAACTGGGAGGCCTTTGCCCATGAAGAATGGGCGAAGATACCCGTAGATCGCTGCAAGACACTTGTGTCAAGCTATGCTTTCACGTTTTTAAAAGCTGTTATAACTGTAAAAGGATGCTGTACTAAGTATAAGATTGAATGTCACTTTAAAACTGATAATGCTGTGAGCACAGAAAAGACATTTGTGGTTATTTCATTATAACTGTTATGTTATATTTGTCTGACCTACAAGTGCCTCTTTAATGTAAAATGTAAGCAAGGGACTGAATGATCAAAAGCAATGTCAAACTGGCCAAAAACTCAATTTCAGTGGGGGGTTGAATAATTTTGGACACAACTGTATGTGCTCCAACTTTGGAGACTTTCAATATAGAGTTAGGACTGCACTATACTGGGATGCTGTGAAGTGGCCTCTGCAGCTTACACATATATTTGCAAATGTTTGCAAACTAAACCCCTTTTTTAGCTTGATCTGTTAGACAGGGTCAATTCGGTTTGTTGCAGGCTGGCTGCTAAGTGAATTTTTGTTTGGGAATTTTTGTGTGCCGATTTTTTTTTTTTTTTTAATTTTTTTTCTTTTTTTTTCTTTTACGTGCCACACTTCCATGTGTTTATTTCTTCAAAGGCCAGTTATAGGTTGGAGTGGTTGCCATTTGTTTGTACTGAAGGTGCACAGTGTCTGTGTCTTGTTGTGGATATATCTGTTCACTTCCTGTCCTGTAGATTCAAGCAGGGGCATATTTACCACAAGGGAAACAAGGCATTTGCCTAGGGCGGCAATTTTCAGGGGGGGCAGTAGCATTTTTTAGGGGGGCAGCGCTGCCTTCCGAAAGAAGGGATGGAAGAGACACACACAGCATGGGGACCAAGTGGGATCTGAGAGAGGCTGCGGGCTTCTTGATGGTGTATGCAGAGCCTGACTCTTGTTCCTGGGGATTTCCAGAGCTGTGAAGGTGAGTGTCTATCTCTCGCTGGGCTGAAGGTGGGGTTGCCAGTGTATGGGGGGCAGTAGTAGCGGAAGGCTCACTTGGGTGGGGGGGTGGGGGAGTCTGGGTGTTGTTGGTCTATGTCAGGCTCTCTTCATCTTCATGGGGGAGGGGGGTGTTGATCAGTGTCAGGGTCTCTCCGTGGTGGTGGTGGTGGTGGGGGGAGCCGATTTTTGTGTTGCCTAGGGCAGCACGAAACCTAAATACACCACTGGATACAAGTGAGAAGAAATCTCACAATGAAGGAAGTTCCTCTTATACCATTGTCACCAGAACATTTGTCCGCATTGAAAGACTAATCCACCACTTGTTCTGGTGACAACCTGGAAAAAAAGGCAATTTGAAAGAGGGTCTAACCAAAAATGTAAAAAAAAAAATGTCTTCACATACAGTTTAAAGTTCGAGACCTCTTAAGACACAAACCTCATGTTGCTACATGCTGGAATTCAGTCCTGTTTGTATTTGTTTTTTATGTTCGTCTTTTCCTGGAAATGTCCCATTCTTGGAATATTAAGCTTGGCCATGTTGTCCCAATACAGGAAACCTCAGCAGTTAATTATCCAGTGCTTCCTGTGTGGCTCTATCTAGCAGGGCTGTTAGTCATCAGCTTTCATTTTACAAAGCACCCTTCTGTGTATTAGTGCAAAATAATCTCTACTGATATGGAAGGGAAAGATTTATGATATTTGCAGCTCGAGTCGTAAATGGTCCCTCTCTGCTGCTCCCAAATATCCCTGCCCCAGGACAAAAGGCCCCTAGCTACTTTTGTGTCTGAATGTGTTTTTAGAGGGTCAGCCCGCTCAAAGGGGATATTGTAGTTCTAAATAGAGCTGGTTTCTTATGTTTTGCTAACTCTGACAGCACCATCTTCCTGATGTAAAGCCAAGTTTTGTTCCCTTACACCTGGGAGTTTCTTGTGTTCTATCCACATTTGTACACTCCAGCTTGTCCTCTTATATCCCTCATAATACGAAATAACTAACAACCCTAGCAGATGGGTGGGACCCCCTCATAATCACCGCAAATATCAGACCCAGTTAAAAGCGTAGCGATCTCGCTGATTAAGTTCACGAGAACTATAAGAAATCTTATATCCTTTCTAGTATAACTTTCTAGTATAAACTAAAATATCTGTTTTGGGTGGACTGGCCTTCAACTTGAAAATTCGATAAATGCCTCTGGTATATTTCAGTGCTGTATAGAACTATCACTAGGATCAGTGACATAATTGTAATAAATCTCACACAGTCTTCTGATCAGCTGTCTAAAGTTAATGTCTAAACGTAATGATAAATTCCTGCTAAAGTTGATTTAAAATTGCAGTTGGTACAAGCAATGAAGAAGCCATTTATGCTGGAACGTTTGGTGAGGTATTTTATAGTCCTTGGTGGATGCTGTGGACTGTACAATAAGGACTTAACCATTATATTGGTTATTAAGAGCAAGGTGGAGAATAAAAATGCTAGACAAAAGTCTTACACATAAGTGATAGTAACTTTGAATGGTACTGACAAAGGGCTAGTAAACTTTATAGAGAGAGAACCCAAATGCACAGCATTGAAACCATAGGTCCCCTCTGTGAGACCAACATGCAAATGATACATTTTTCACCAAATTGAGCCCCAGCCATTGGCCTTGTATATACTATAGTTCAGTATTATTGTATTTGGCTTGTACATTAAATGCACCTTATATTCTAGATATAAAGATTCTCAACTTCCAATAGTCTGTACACTAGCTGATGGCACTCTTCTTATGTACAGTTACTGGTATGGACACACTGGGCATCTTTTTTTATAAATGTTTTTCCATAAGAACTTCCAGACTACCCCCACACTACTTTCAGTTTAGCCTTTATTGCTGAATTTTCTTTTGTGTTCTCTTAATTTCCTACATTCTGTTCCAATGTTACTGAAGTGACTCTTCACAGTTTTGTGCGTCATCAATGGGAGGGCTAGTGTTTCCTAGCCATAAAACTACTCCTCTTCCATGATGAAATGCAACCTTGGAGAAGCACAGAATAAGTCACACTATTAAGTCCAACTGGACTACATGTTTGATGAATGTAATGTCTTCATTGGAGAATGTAGTCCCTTGGTAATTTACACCTCCATAGTCCATTGTATTTTGCACTTGGAAATCTCAGTTAAGATCGTGGAAAAAGAAACTGCATTGACTAGACTCTGGCTGTCATTTTTTTTTTGTATAGCTTTGAAAATCAATCTTTCAGAGCAGCATAAAATGCACAGAGGCCACAATGACCTGCTTTATGAACGTGAGCAATGAAAAAGCCATAGCAACCAGTGTGATTCTTTAGGTCAGTGCAGATTTGGATAAAGAAGTTATGACGTCAATGATTGCTATGATACACACACATGTTTTTCAGTTGTTCCAGGTCAGGCCCTTAGGGAGTCCATAATGGCTGGCTTTTACTCTGAGTATACTTTAGTACCCTGGTGCCCAACCTGTGGCCCTTTGGTATATGATATGCGGCCCTCAGCAGTTTGTAGCAGGAACATTGATTTGAATAATAGCATTGATCCCTACTAGCCTCATGTAAGTTTTCAGTTTCATATTGTCTTCTGCAGCATACCCCAACCACAAATGTACCATGTTCACACTCTCTGATCCTCACTTTCTCTATTAGGTCTGCAGTTCCTGACAGTCTTTTTAAGCATTACATATATTGAACCTTATGTGAGCTCCATTTGAGACCCCCTTTAGCTCATAAACTACTGCTTTAGTGTGTCAGTTTGGAGGTATTTTAATAACCATTTACTAAACCTGCATAGGCTTTTACAAATGTCTCATTTCTGCAGCGCCCACAGAAAACCAGCGAAAGGCCGAGACTGAGCCAGATTCCATCAGAGGAGATGGATGACAGCAGTCCAGCAAATGAACGACCTGGTGAGCTGGGAGTAAACCCTGCTAGAGTTCGAACAGAAGCCTTACGAGGTGTACAAGACATGCCCAGCGGTGGCCAACCAGTAATCCAGCAGTTTGTTCCACAGGTACTGGTCTCTATCTGTATGCACATGCCATGGTAGCAGCACTTTGTACTGCAGTGGAGTACATAGGAATGTTCGCATGGAACAGTGTTAGCAGAGACATGATAGGGGTTGAAGGCAAATAGACTATGCACTTTGCAAAGTGCAGTTGCACCAGAGCTTAGTAAATAAGGTGAAGCTTCACTTTGCAAAGAATACCCAATCACATGCAAGGAATATAAAAAGCAGATATTTTGCTTGCACCTGATTGGATGATGGAAGTCAGCAGAGTTTCTGCTCATTTAATAAGCTCTGCAACTGCACTTTGCAAAGTGCAGAGTCTATTTGCCTTTTGTAAATCAACCCCATTGTGTCAGTCTTGTGAAGGAATCATAACTTGTAAAACATTTGGTTTTGTTTAGCAACAGCAGAATTAGTAGTAATGTTACTATTTCACTTTTTTTTTAAATTACAAAGAAGTGTCAGCTTCATGCAGAAATTATACATAAAACTAACAAAGAAATTACATGGAGTGCCTAGTAATACATTATTCATTAGATTGTGACTTGACTGTAAGGATCCTTATTTTTTTTTAAAAATGCTGTGCAATTCACTCTACTTTTTACAGTTGTCATGAATAATTCCCATAATCTGTGTAATGAGTTTACTTCTTATGATTGTCTGCTCCATCTAGTGGCCATAATGCGGTATTTTCCTGAAATACTTCAATCAGGAAAATACCATATTATGGCCACTAGATGGTGCTGCAAATCAGAGGACATTCATGTTTTAGGCAAATTACAGGGATTATTCGTGATAGCAAATGCTTGAGATGATGGCACAGCAGATTTTCTATATAAATAAATCCCTAAGTGTCCATTACTTGTAAATCTTTTACTGATCTGGCAAAGTTATTTTGGTTGCTATGAGTTATTGATCTAGCTGTATGTGACAGGTCTTGTTTTCCTTTCAGGCTTATATGTGGGAGACGAGCCATCTTCGCGCACAACAGCACATAAAAAGACCTCAGCAACTGGACACTTTAATGATCCCTCTTATGCCTCAAACACATCGTCCTCTTACAAGAGCAAAGTCCTCTCCAGCTTCAGCTTCTATTCCCACTCAAGATCCCTCCTCCAAAACGATGACACTCACATTGCCAGAACAGCCTGAGAAGCCACGCTTCACCACAGGTAATGATCACACAGCAAAAGCTACTAGGTATGACCAATATGAACTTTGTTAGCCTACTGCAATCTATCAGATTTACATTATTTTCCAGTGTGAGTTTAAATCTGAATGGTTATGATAAGGCAATAAAGACTACCAGAAACCTTTTCTTTCTGAAGATACCAATTTATGCAATAAGGTCATCAGGGACTTCTCACACCATGCAAAATCAGGGGTGGGATTTATTTCACAGCAGCCAACAACCACCACTATTCTCATAGTCAGAATCCATTACAGTCATGCAAAAGATCAGCCATCATTGCTTAAAGTGGAACTATACTCACCTTCTGTCCCGCACTGTGGTGTCCCTGCTGGCCACTGACAACTCTGCTTCCAAGTATCGATCTCCGGCCTTTTTCATTGGCCAGCATGAGATGAAGTCACTCCCGTGCATGCCCTGGAGTTGATTTATCGCGTCATTGCCGAAATTGTATGCTGAGTTGCGCATGCACAGCTCAGTGTACGGTGCAGACAGGCAAGTAAGACCTTTTTTTTTTTTTTTTTTTTTTGAAAAGGCAAATCTGTTTGTGCTCATTTCTGCCATGTCTAACTGAAGAATGGGAATATAGATTTTTGTAGACTGAGGGAGCACAGTGTCAGGCACTTATAATGTGCACTGTTAGTAGCATAGCTACTTTTACTATCTGTGGATCTGTACATTTTCTGTATGCACTCAGCCTCCATCCCTTTCTGTCCCTGTGCCTACATTCATGGAAATCTGACTCTGACATTCTATACACTTTCCAAAAATATATGATTAGATATGATTAAACCAGTGAACATGGTGGGCTTGTGATACCTGTGACTATTAGAGGGGGATTTATTAAAAAAAGCAAGACAAAACTCCCAAAAAAAAAAAACAAAAAGCCGCACGCTTATAACGTACTTCACAAGAAAATATGTATATTGCTCAAAGGGAGTGACTCATCGTAGGCTCCACTGCAAAATCCTGGTTCCTTGTCCTATTTGCTGGCACATTAGGGCTTATACACATGGGTATATTGGGACATAGAGGGGGATATTTACTAATACTGGTGCACTCAGAATCTGGAAGCTGGTTGATTTTTATGCAGAGCTGCATCTGATTTAGCAAGCTCTAGTTTTAGTAAATCTCCCCATTAACCTCCCTGGCGGTATTTTCGAGTGTAGCTCGGGGTAAAGTTTCAGTACCACAAACGGTAACCCCGAGCTACACTTGGGCTTACCATGCGGCGCTGCTCCGCGATCCCTCGATCACTTACCTTGTCCTGCGCTCCCGCGATGTCCCTCCTGCAGTGTCCCCGGCAATGTAATCCGGCGGATGCCGGCATCTGTCATTTGGGTTCCATCCCCTGCGAGCGTCGGGACGTACGGGGGACGGAATGGCTGGAAATTTGAAAATGACAAAAAGTGAAATTTACTAAAATCACTAAAATCACATAGTAAAACATTACTGTATCAAACCATTTCACATACATTTTGTCCCTAGTGCTTTGCCCTGTGCCCTGTCTGCATTTTTACTGTTCTTATTGCCTGGAAACTGAGAAATGTCCATGGCATCCAAAAAGCGTCCCTTTAGGCCAAAAGCGGTTTTAGACTGGCTAGAGAACAGCGATAGTAAATCAGAACCACTTGCAGAATTGAGTGATAATGATTTGTGGGGAAATTCGTCATCAGACACTGAAAACGATTTTGCGACTTTGCTCAGTGATGTGCGAACTTGGCGCTATATTTCAAATGTCAGTGTTTTTGGTTTGATAATATTATTGAATTAAATTTATTATTAGTAGATTATTATTTTTTATGATTATTTATTAAATTATAATTTATGATTTCGTGTTTCAAGTTTTATCCTACCCGGGATGTTTACTAGACTCTTGTTCGGACAGATTTCAGTGAGTTACTCCTAAGAATTACAGGCCTACAATATAAAACGCCAAATTTCCATGCAAAATAATGGTACCGCTTTCAGCACCAAAAATCTGAAATAATCATACCGCCAGGGAGGTTAACGCCCATGTTTTGGTGCCTGAGAGCAACAGGTGTTGCGTGCGGCCACCTGTACAAATGAATACCGCTGTACACGAATATCACATCTCCTGCTTGCTGCATTTTTGGTGCGATAAAAAAAAAGTACCAAAAGCACACGTCTCCATTGAAATCAATGGAAAACACATCAAAAACGTTCCTGTGTTGCCTTTTTGGTGTGTTTTTTGAGTCACATGTCCTTGAAAAAAGGCACCACAAAAACATGGCAAAACCTTATATTCATTTTTGCTATGCACACTGCCGCGGATCAGTGTGAAAGTAGCCTTATAGTAAATGTGTTTTCATTTGTTATGCACGGCTTCACTTCTCCGTTCTAGTCATTCAAATAGAATAGTTCGATATGTTCCCCCAGTGTATATTTACATATCTGTCAGTAAGGCTGAAAATCAGCACTGTGATAGCTGAAAAATGGCTGCAAAAGATACAGTACACTTTATTTCCCTATAGGAATTGTTTATGACTCTGTGATGTTGAAGCACCAGTGTACCTGTGGAGACAACAGCAACCACCCAGAGCACGCTGGGAGAATCCAAAGCATCTGGTCCCGCTTGCAAGAAAGAGGACTGAGGAATCATTGTGAAGTAAGTTCATCCATCTTTTACTGTGGAGGGGCAGTTATATAAAACAAGCTTTCCAATTCTGAAATTTTAGACTGACCAATAAACACCCTGACCATTATTCATTTTTATTTTCTTCTATACAAGGCTTGTGCCCATCCACCAGAATAATGGAAGCTCTAGAATGGATGCGTGCATAGTCTGCTGGTTGTAACTAGAGGCTGTCAGAATCTGTTTTGGACTTTTTTCAGATTGTAATATTTATAGTGCACACATGTAGGCTTCTCAAAATCTGGAAGTAGGGATGCACCGATACCCTTTTTTTTTATCGGCGAGTATGAGTACTGATGCTTTCGATCAAGTATTTGCTGATACCGAGTGCCAATATTTTGCAGTGCGATTTGCGTCCATGCAAAATGAATGGGCGCAAATCGCACTGCAAAGAATGGCATGCAATTTGAACATTAATGCGATGTGATTCCTGTCTGAATCGCATGCAGTTTTCCCATATGTGAACCCGGGCTTGTCATAGCCTGAGTTCACACAGGAGCGGTGTGGGAAACCTCCCTGCACCAATCCCATGCTTAACGAAAAGCCGCTACACAGGCCTGGGGATTGGAAATCTCTGCGGCTCTCTTTCCTCTCCTTGCAGAGATGACGGCTTGTGACTGGTCAGCACCATGACGGTGCTTACAGGAGATCGCCTGATTGGGCTGAGAATAGGTATTATCTTGTAGTCAGCATAGGTGTTTGGGGGGTGGGGGGCATTTTTGAGACTAGTTGGGCTGAGGCTTGAATTTTAGCTAAAAAGATCATTGGTGTCAGAGCGAACTTATCTGAAATGCAGAATTTGCTCCTTGCTTAATGAACCCCTTAGCAACCCCTAAAGGAAGCCTGGTTGAGAGACTGATCTAAAGAGTCAAACCTGAGAGTTGGGAAAGCTGCAATTTTTCCTCTAAAATACCTGTCTGGAGTCAGCCACATTTTCCCAGCTTGGGTTTTCTTTTAGATATTAAACAGATTATACATCACTGGTCTAAGCCATGATACAGCACTGAAACAGGCTAACTTGGCAAACAGGCTTGATTTCTCATTCTGTTGCACAGAGAACAGGCATTGCAGTTTAGTGGTTAACATTGCTGCCGTGCAGGTCTGTTTCCCCTTGTTCTTTATCTTTCAAGAGGACTACCTCTTTATTCTGCCATTGGCATCAGTTGACAATACTGTGAAACATGAAAAGCAGACTTCTGACTGTTAGATTGGGGCCTGGTAGTGTGCCATAGAATGCTTGATTCTCCTGCTGTGTAAGGTTTGATGATCTGTATATTTTGCAGTGCATTCGTGGTAGAAAGGCATCCCTGGAAGAGCTGCAATCAGTACATACAGAGACACACGTCCTCCTCTATGGCACCAATCCTCACAATAGGCTCAAACTGGACAATCGCAAGCTTGCCGGTATGTGACCCTTTCCTAAAGCACAGCACTCCACACAAAGGGAAAGCTTTGTCATAGGTGTGCCAAAGCAACAGCTGGTAACGTATTTTTTGTTTATGTGTGTGTGTGTGTGTGTGTGTGTGTGTGTGTGTGTATATGTGTGTGTGTGTGTGTGTGTGTATATGTGTGTGTGTGTATGTGTGTGTGTGTGTATGTGTGCATGTGCATTGCTTGTTTGAGAGAACATTGCACACATGTCTGGGCTTATACCAGGAAACAAAGCCTGCCTCTGAAAGTGTTCTACTTTTGTGTGTTCAGAGACAAACTAGCCGTTACCAACACTACAGTTTCATCCAGCAGAGATTATTCACATGTGTATGGAGATCTGATTTGTAATTTACAACCTTCATGGTCTAGATACTACAAACCTACAGTAACAATAGAAGTGCACATAACCTGATACTGCATAAGTTTGCTAGGCGCTGCTTACATGGTTATCTAAGTAAAACATTCACCATATAGACAATATAGGAAAATTACATCAACCCTCCTCAGTGTGAACCTGTGTATTCATGTCAGGGTAACAGTATTACTTATGTATGCAATAATCTCTCATGTAATAAGGATTTAGACAGTAGAAGATGACCTTCTGTATAACCACCACGTAGTGTATATATAATGGGGAGAATGGTCATCCATGTCTTTATGTACCTTGCTTTGTGCACTGGTGCCCAGTCATGTTGGAACAGGAAGGGGCCATCCCCAAACTGTTCCCACAAAGTTGGGAGCATGAAATTGTCCAAAATGTCTTGGTATGCTGATGCCTTAAGAGTTCCCTTCACTGGAACTAAGGGGCCAGGCTCAACCCCTGAAAAACAACCCCACACTATAATCCCCCCCCCCCCCACCAAACTTTACCAAATGCAGTCAGGCAAGAACCGTTCTCCTAGCTGCCGCCAAACCCAGACACGTCCATCGGATTGCCAGACAGAGAAGCGTGATTCGTCACTCCAGAGAACACATCTCCACTGCTCTAGAGTCCAGTGGCGGCATGCTTTACATCACGGCATCCAACGATTTGCATTGTACTTGGTGATGTAAGGCTTGGATGCAGCTGGTTGGCCATGGAAACCCATTCCATGAAGCTCTCTACACACTGTTGTGCTAATCTGAAGGCCACACAAAGTTTGAAGGTCTTTAGCTATTGACTCTGTGCGCTTCAGCATGCGCTTACCCTGCTCTGTCATGTTACATGACCTACCACTTTGTGGCTGAGTTGCTGTTGTTCCCAGTTGCTTCCACCTTGTTATAATACCACTAACAGTTGACCGTGGAATATTTAGTAGCAAGGAAATGTCATGGATGGACTTATTGCACAGGTGGCAACCTATCACGGTACCACGCTTGAATTCACTGAGCTCCTGAGAGCGACCCATTCTTTCACAAATGTTTTTAGAATCAGTCTGCATGATTTTATACTCCTGTGGCCATGGAGGTGATTGGAACACCTGAATCGATTATACGTTTGGCAATTAGTGTATATGTCAAGTGGGCCTTAAGGGAGTTGATTACACTTTGGGGTTGTTTTACTAAAACTGGTGCACACAGAATCGGGTGCAGCTCTGCATAGTAACCAATCAGCTTCTAACTTCAGTTTGTTCAATTAAGTTTTGACATTAAAACCTGGAAGTTGGTTTCTTTGCAAAGCTGCATCAGATTGTGTGTTTTAGTAAATCCCCCCATTTGCCTTATCCTGCTGCCTGTCTGTGAACTGCTTATGCCTGTTCATGACAGTATTTCCCATTTAGGGTTTAACATAGTATGGATCAATGCCAGCTATTTACGCTATACGTTTTACCATAGATATCTTACAAGATTGGAAGCACAGTGGCTAAGTAGTGGTTAGCACTTCCACCTGGTAGTACTAGGGTCATTGGTTCAAATCCCAACCATGGCACTACCTGCCTGGAGTTTGCATGTCCTCCCTGTGCCTGTGTGGGTTTCTTCCGGGTATTCCTGTTCCTCTCACAAAAATGTGCTGGTAGGTTAATAGGCTCCTGTCAGAATTGGCTCTAGTATATGTATGAATGTGAGTTAGGGACCTTAGATTGTGTGCTCCTTGAGGGTTAGGGACTTGTATGTAGTGCCCTCAATTTACACATTTTGTACATTCACATAAGTACCTGTAATAAATAAGAATACTTTATTAAATGTTACTCCTGCTATCTGATGCATATAGCTTATGATATTGTCACTGTAATCTAGTTTCTGTCTACTCTATCACTTCCTCAGCCTATCCTAAAATTTTGAGATCAGATCATGCCACGTTTCTGTAATTGTGTTTCAGAACAATTGTATTCTAAAAGCTTTAAGAAACTGGCATTTTCAAAGCTTTATTTTGCTTGGGGCTCAGCAGCTGGCCAAGCCTGAGGCCCGGTTCACACTAGTGTGGGACATGCGTGCCGTGTTTGCATGGGCACAGAAGCCCTATCATTTATGTGGGCACGGTAGCCCAGTCATTCTTTTTTTTTTTCATGCCATTTCAGGCAAGGAAAAGGTGCATGCACCTTTTTTAAAATGCATCCACAGGGGAGCCGCTGGGGGATCACAGAGCAACGCAAAGTGGTAGCAAATGCTTGAACAGGTGCGATTCCTGCACCCGCAACCAGTCCACAGCACGCAGGATAGTGTGAACCAGGGCTAAGAGGGGAGATTGATGTGCACTCATTTGATATTCAGCAGGAACTCCTGGAGTACTTAAATGGATGTCTACTGAAGAGTGATTGCTTTAGAAATGCTATTGTACATGATATTTGGATATGTTGGGTTCCTCTTATTGTCATTTTACGACCCTAGAAGTGTAATTTGCAAATGGGAAATCACATTACAAAGTATTGGTGACGTAACAGCAAAAATATAAAAAGTGTGATCCGGTGGGTAAAAACAAGGATCTGAATTAATGCAGCCTTTTACAAACTGATGACCTGCTGAGAAGCAAAACCGGAGTCAGGCGTTCCAGACTGTGGGGAAAGAAAACATGTTGACAAATAGCTTTGTGCATTGAAGAGGAAGTGCTCTCTGGATCTCATTGACTTAACCATACAAAGTGAGGAAATAATACCTATACAGACCTGAACAAAAATACACACCGTGGACGTGCCATTTTATTGTTTATATAGCCCTGCCACGCTTGGTGAGGATTTACCCCCCTTCCTCACCAGGCCACCTTTTGCGTTACGGCGCTGTGTTACTTTAACTGACAATTGCGCGGCCATGCAACACTGCACCCAAATTAAATGTATGTCTTTTTTTTCCACGAATTGAGCTGTCTTTCGGTGGCATTCGATCGCCTGTGCGGTTTTTATTTTTTGCGTTCTAAATAAAAAATGATCTCCAATTTTGAGAAAAAAAACAATGTTTTTGACTTTTTGCTATTAAACATGTCCAGTAAAAAAAAATTTAAAAAATCTAATTTTGTCATAAATTTAGGCCAAAATGTATTCTGCTACATGTCTTTACTAAAATAAAATCCCAATACGTGTAAATTAATTGGTTTATGTGAAAGTTATAATGTGTACAACTGGTGGTATAGACACTGGGATTTTTTTTTAATTTCATTTTTGCTAGTAATGGTGGTGATTAGCAACTTATAGCGGGACTGCGCCGAGCATTCTGACACTGGGGGGAACTGACCTGGTGTCACTGACATCCCCAGTGGCACCAATACAGTTATCAGTGCTAAAAAAAACAACAAAAAAACATGGACACTGTACTATGGCACTGGGCAAGAAGGGGTTAACATAAGGGGCAATCAAAGGGTTCACTGTGTGCAGTTTCACTATGTGTTGTGTCTGTGTGCTTCACTGTAAGCACACTGTTTTGCATGGCTATGCACAGCCATCCAAAGCAGTGTGCACAAGCTGACAGGGAGAACTATTTTGTTTACAAACAGTTCACCTCCCCATTGGAGATGCTCACCAATCACTGTCCAACGAGTAATTACTGTCCGGGACTTGGTGATTGACTGAGAATGGCCTCACGTGCGCCCCCTACCTGGTGGTACAAAATCACGTGTATATATAAGTGATTTTGCGCACCTGTGCCACCCTGTAGCAGTATATCTGCTATAGGGCGGTCAGGACCCATTCACATCTGTCTTTATGGAAGCTTAAAGTCCAATGTCCGCAACACTGGTATATTTTGGTATGACTGTGCTGATACACTGTTAGGAGAAATATAGGTAGAAAGCTACAAATTTACCAGCATGTTTTTGGATTGTGGAAGGAAACCACAGCACCTGCAGAAAACCTGTACAAACACAGTGTGGGAATCCAGAACACCTGCACTGCAAGGCAATAGTAATGCTAACCACCTATTTCATCCATTGGCACACTGTAGGTTGAATGGAAATTGGTATCTCTGTAACATGGGACTGGTCAATAAAGTATCTATTAAATAGTATAGACAAATAATATTGGTGCACAGTAAGAATTGCTAATACCCACAAGTCAGCTGATCCCTGAGGAAAGGGTCTACTGTTATGAGGGCTAGCAGATTGATCTATCATCATTTGATAAATAATAAAGTCTAAGGCATACCATAGACGAGTCGAAAGATAAACAAAATTTGTGTCGATCATCGAATCGTTTGTTTTTTCACATCATTAGTGTGTCACACAATTTCATCCCGCAATCGAAAGTCCCTGATCCAACATGCAGGTTTTTTTTTTTTTTTTTTTTTTTAGAAAATCAAAACAATTAATGGCACAATCGTATAGGTTATTTTAGTTTTTCGGTCAATAGTACTTTGGTTTTTCGACTCGTGCATGGTCTGCTTAACATAATGCCTTGGTCATTTAGCCCTCATGCACACTGGACGTTTTTACAGCTGCTGTTTTTGACCTTTGACGTTTTTTTGACGTTTTTTTCTACAGTCAATAAACTCCCCAGCATGTTATCCTATGTGTCCATGCACACATAGACTGTAATCAACATTTTTTGGCTGGGACATTTTTTGGCAGAAAAACCCCCCAAAACTAGTGGGTTTCTAGAGGAGTTTTTATAGCTGTAAAAACGCTCTAACGCTGCAAAACACGGTTAAACGCCGCAAACCAGCGTTTTTGGACTTTTTTTGACCAAAATAAACAGCAAAAAGTGCAATCGCGGAAAAACACCACTAAACGATAATGCAAAAATGCTTAAAAGCTGACTTTAATGTGACTTTACACAGCTAATGTTACCAGTGTTATCAAAACTTCAAGTGTGCATGAGGGCTTAATGTTTATGGTGTTGCTGGTCTATCTGCCTGCCTCTCTTGTCTGTCTGTTAATCTAACCTATTTATCTTCTAATCGGAAGACTGATTTCTGATTGTTAGTGTTTACTACATATTGCTCTCATTTCATTATCGGTCTTAGTGATAAAATATTCAACTGTTGTTAACTGTCCTTTTTGGGGAAGTTTAGTTTAAAAAAAAAAAAAAAAACACTTTTACCTAATGCTGAATCACATAACTTTATTGACGAATGTCTGCAGGCTGATCCTGTAGAACTCTTCTCTCCAGTGACACCCGGTCCTCTTCACAGCTTTGAACTTCTGGCACTGCAGGGGTTAACCGCTTCAGGTCCAGGGGCGGACTGACAACTCATTGGGCCCCTGGGCAATAGGGGATCATGGGACCACTGTGTCCTTGCCCAAACTCAAAAAAACCTATGAAAAAGGTACCAGGGGCATCTCATGGAGCCCCCTACTGACTCCGGGCCCGAGTTTCCAAATGGTCAGTCCGCCCCTGTTCAAGTCTAACATTATAATGCATTTCAGAAGCTGAGTAGATCTTTGTCAGTGGAGGAAAGGGTGAGCTGTCTTTTGAAATGTATTTGCTGTGTTAGACCTGAAGCTATTAACCCCCTCAGTGCCCGTAGTTCAGAGCTGTGAAGAGGACTGGGCACCACTGGACAGGAGATTTCTACCAGAACCATCAGCCTCCAGGACATGGGGCATTACAGGTAAGTTACATGACTGCAGCAGTAGGTGAAAAAAAGCTTAAATCAACTGTAGCTTTAAATCTACCATACAAACTGACAGTTGAAAAAGGATAGTTTGAAATTGACTGGATGCAGCCATGATAAAGTTTAGATCACAACACATTACTACAGTACTGAGCACAGCATAGGGTTAGTGCAGTGGGCAGCATATAAATATATAAATCCAGGCCAGGGCAACGACCCAGGACTCCAGGATTCTATTTTGGTTAGCTCTTAGTGGCAACTTCCCTAAACATGGTTCAAACACATCAATCCGTTTTAGGGACGATTACAAATCTATTTGTCAGCACCAGAGACAAGAAAGTAACTCAGCAATTGCTGCCCTTCTTTGGGAACCAGACATCAGTAATAGGGAAGGATCACATAAATAATTTAAATGGGAATTTCCAACATGAGCTTGATTTACATTTGCTTGTGTTGTGCTGCCCTCGTGTGGGCTCATACAGCAGTCTAGATTTTGTGTAGCAAGACTTCATATGCACATAATCATGCTGGAAGAAGGAAAACCTCCTGCTATGGCTCCGGAGTCTGCTTTTGCTGGCTATATAATGTTGAATTTTGTATATCGGAGTGAACATAATTTCCAATAACTGCTCCCCACAGCTTTGCTGGAATGTAGCAGTGGGTATCATTTTGTCTTGCAATTGGATTTGTTTTCTTCCTTAAAGTGTTACTAAACCCACAACAGTAAAATCAGCCTGTATATGCAGTAAAGCATGCTTGTTATACTCACTGTGGAACCTAGAGGGTTAATCCTCTGCATTGTGTAAAAAGGCCGTTTGATCCTTTTTTCTCTGTTCCTCCCCTTTTTCAAGCTACCTCCTCTTATCTCCTGATAAGACAGACTGAACCACAGACATTTTGCACATGCTCAGTTTGCTGTGTATTGCTAGAGAGGTTTTTTTTTTTCTTGGGAGAGTTCATGTGATCAGCGCAGGGCCAATCAGCACAGAGGTCAGGGGTTTTGCATTCTCATAGAGCAGAAAGAAAACTCCCCTAAAAGCTTTAGCTAGTGCTGGGCTGGACACTGATAGAAGTCACAAGACTGCTCTAACTGCTGATGAGAAAAGGTATTTAGCTGTTTATATTTAGTAACATAATTGCATTTCCATGTTGTGTGTAGTGTGGGAGACCAGATATAGTGAATGCAGGGTCCTGGGTTTAGTAACACTTTAAATGCTAAGTTCACCTTTAGAACATGTGACATGGTACAGCCGTATTTAGGGTGTGACATGTTCCAGCACCTTTCTGAGTCCCCCCCCCCCCCCTCCACACACTCCTCCCTGTGACAGTGGACAGGTGTTCTTCTCCCTTGCAGACACTGTCATACATAGAATTGGCACGGTTGTGCGGGGCTCTGCCTGAACAGACACATATTCATTCACAGGGATCTCTGAATGAATAAACTACAAGTCCTGCCTATCACGGCGTCTGATGGCTTGTAGTTCTCAATAGACTTCAAATGTGTAGATCAGCATGCTTGTATTCCATTTATTCATTCATTGTGATTCTACTCTAAATGCTAATTCTAAAACTTTTAAAAATAGAAGAAATCTTCTTGTCCCCACATACTAATATAGGAAAAATGACAGAGCCCTACTGTGAAGCTTGTGCTTTGTATATTTGTTAGTCACATCCTCATGTTTTTGTAGCTCCAGTGTATGTTCTGTTTATAGACCTTTTAGGCTGTTCTTCAGAAAACCAACTGAACATTATTGCCATTTTATTTTTATTACTTGCTTGCTATTCCATATTTTTTTATAATGTTTCCATACACAGATTTGTATGCACACTTTCCAATAGCAGTCTGTTTATGATATGTATGCAGCCAGTATGGAAAAAGGAGCTGTGCGTATCGGGAACTGTGCTGAACAAGGTGTGTGTGTTCACACATGCACCTCAGCACTTCAGCTATTTTGGAACTACAAGGCCCATGGGGAATTGCAAAACTGTGGCAGCGAAACAAAAAAGAAAGCGCACCAACCTTGCGCATTACCTCAGTAAACCATAATTTTATTGAATACAGAATGATACTCACAAACAGCGAAGTAAATCAAGCATGTAAGTCCTCAAAGGAACTTTAGAACTGTGAAGCCTGTGCGAGTCACATCATAGGGGTGGACACTCAGAGTACGGCTGACGCGTTTCGAAGGGCATCCCTTCTTCATCAGAGCTAACTGAATAATGAGTGCTCTCTACCATATATACCCTAGGACTGAAGCTGGACCCTCCCATCTGGGTTGGGCAGTCTCAGGTTGGGAGGAGGGGCAAAGGTGTCATCAAATTATGTCAACAGTATTTACTAACAATATGATTTCAATAGTGATAATCCACCTTTATTCTGGGTCATAGAGCGCAGGAGAGGTTGTTTCTGGTTCTAAAACTGTGGCAGCGACAGGTATGACTTGCATAAAGGGACAACACAGTGGGTAAGTGGTTAGCACTTCCTCCTAGAGGCACTCGGGTTGTCAATTCAAATCTCAACCATGGCACTACCTGCCTGGAGTTTGCATGGTCTCCCTGTGCCTGTGTGGGGGTACTCCAGTTTCCTCCTACACTCCAAAGACATGCTTGTAGGTTAATTGGTTCCTGTCTAAATTGGCCCTAGTATGTGTATGTATGAATGTGAGTTAGGGACCTTAGATTGTAAGCTCCTTGAAGACAGGGACTGATGTGAATGTACAATTTATATGTAAAGCGCTGCGTAAATTGATAGCACTATATTAGTACCTGTAATAAATAATTTGCAGTTTCACGACAACTGGAGCGCCAAGGTTGCCTATCCCTGCTGAAATATGTGTTTAGGAAGCAAAAATATCTATTTCCATATATCAGTATATTTACCCTTCTTGCATGCACTACTATTATCATTATTAATGCCAGGTAGCAAACTGCTGGAGTCATTGTAATGTAATTTAGTTTGATTTGTTTTACTCTTACTTTGATGCAGAATGTACAGTATAGTGCAAGAGTGTACTCAGCAGCTGCCAATTCATCTTTATGTAGGACTAGTCTATTTAAACGGATTCCATAGTCATCACATTGATGTACATTTGTTCAGTTGAATACAGGCATACCTCAATTTACGAACACCTCGGTTAACATAATTTTCGGTTTACAAATGAAAATCCATTGAAAATAATGGCTCGGTCTACGAATTTTGTTTCTCAACACGAACGGATTAATTGGTTTTCAATACATTTACGTTTTTATTTAAAATCATGTCCCTGTCCAGTACTATGCCTTTAAAGTGCACTTTATAAAGAGTTTTGAACAGAGAAGACTTTTTTTTACTTTTTTCTGAACTCCGAAACGGATTAATTGTTTTTCAATGCATTTACAAATTTTTATTAGTCATGTCCCTGTACAGTACTATGGCTTTAAAGTGCACTTTATAAAGAGTTTAAAAGACAGATAAAGGACTTTTTTTTTTTTTTTTTACTTTTTTCTGACCTCCAGAACAGATTAATTGGTTTTCAATGCATTCCCATGGGAAACCGCGTTTCAGTTTACAAATTTTTTGCAATCTGAAAAGTCCCACAGAACGCATTAAATTTGTAAACCGAGGTATGCCTGTATAAAAAAATCCTAGTAATCTGTATTATACTGAACTAAGAACTATACAACCAAATGTATTTACTTAGCTTGGTTTACTTGACCAGGATGAAAGGTCGTAAAAGATTTGTGCAGTTCACATCGGGAACATACAAACCAAGAGTTGTGTATACAGGTAGAAGTTACTTTGGTTTAGTTCATTGCTGCTTCACTGCTTCATGCTGAAAAAAAAGGCTAGAATATCATCATCAACAAATGATGGAGCAATGCAGTGAATGTGTTATGTCCCCATTACATCATGTGCCATTTATAATATGCAGTTACTTATGCAGAAATGCTGGATTTGTGCCTTAAATCAAAAACACAGTGCTGGAACCTCCTTTTTTTACCTTTTACATTTGATAGACCAGTTTGTATCTTGCTTCTCCAAAGTTATATTCAGGCTTACGATCCTCCACATTGGATGTTTGTGTTAAGCTCACTGTGACATTATATCCTGTTTCTGCATTTCCAGTGATCTACATTTTTTTAAATGTTTCAAGCTGCAGCTCTGCATCTTTGAAAAGACAGCTAAAATTTTTTCCTAGAGGAGCCTGCAAAGCATTGCACCTATGGTAAATGGATCATGGGTGCAATGTTAGGCTCCTGCACATTTCCCCCCAGTTTTCTGCCTGTACCTCTGTATGGGCTTTCAGTTAGAAAGCTGGAGGAAGAGTAAATGGACTATGGGTGTGCTGATCAGTGCATTTGTAGTTCATTGAGCACTTCAGCTGTCATGGTGGTGAAAGGGGGGTGAGGGGAGCATGTTATATGTTACTCAGGTGCATTATGTAACGTGCTCTAAAGGTGAACTTAGCCTTTAACACCACACGTCTTAGTTGCATACATTTACAAATGTATGTGGAAGCTGCATTAGGACACGTCTGTAATTTTAAACCTGTATCTGACCAGTGAGAATTTGAGTATCAAATAATTAAGAGCAAGCTTGCTTGCTAGCTGTCACATTTCTCTAAATGTTCTCTCATTTTGTATTTCAGGCTACTTATATTTTCTTTTTTGCCTCTTAGGAATTCTTGCGCAGAGGATGTTTGTTATGCTGCCATGTGGAGGACTTGGGGTAAGTCTCTCTCTAAAGGTCTTAGTGATATTAAAGGCATATTTTTAAAAATAACAGACAAGTCATACTTATCTGCTCTGTGCAGTGGTTTTGCACAGAGCAGCCCCTATCCTCCTCCTCTCAGGTTCCCTGCTGGCGCCCCTTCTTCCTGCAGCGTGCCCCCAGAGGAAGCAGCTTGCTATGGGGGCACTCAAGCAGGCTTGCTCCCAAGCTGCTGCTCTGCATGTCCATTAACACACATCTCTCCTCATTGGCTCACTGGCTGTGATTGACTCCCATTGGCTCCCACTGCTGGCCAATGAGGAGGGAGAGTCCTCAGCTCTTGTGCACATCGCTGGATTGCAATGGGGTTTAGGTAAGTATTAGAGGGACTGAAGGTACTGCTGCACACAGAAGGTTTTTTTACTTTCATGCATAGAATGCATGAACGTAAAAAAAACCTTGAGTCATTACAACCACTTTAGCGATTTTTTTTTTTTTGCTATGTTACAGTAAATATTTGATGAACCTTTGTAATTAAGGTATACACACAATAGGATTACTCCTCCATCATAGAGGTGTGTCAGAGGTTTTGAGAAGATGTTTTACCTTTGGTAAGTTATAGAAGAACAGCTGCTGGAGCAATGAAAACTCAAAGGTGTTTTTGTTTGCATCCAGTTCATGCTTTAATTTATTCTTCAGGCAATAACTTTTATTTATTAAGGCAAAAGGTGGGATTTAACCCATAGTAACCTGTAACCCTTTGTCAATAGTCTGAGAATAGCTGATATTTGATTGGTCACTTGTTGCTCCTACAGTGCATTTGCATCACATCTGTACCTAGCACTTGGGCTCATAGCGTGATCTTTTGCTTCTTTTTTATCTTGATTTCACCATATATTTCTCTCAGATGGAGTAACACCTATATATCTTACAGTATGTGCTGACAGTGGGATACTTTGAAGTCAATCTATTCAAGATTGCACCTCTTTATAGAGACAGTAGGAATGCATGTTCCCAACTGTCCCCTTTGATAAGCTCCCAGCTAATGGTACATTAGAAATCATGTTCCTTATCCTTCAGGGAAATATGGGAGTCTTTCATCTAACACATGGAATACGTGAAAACACATTCTTTTGCTCTTAACGGTTAAGCAGACTAAAAAGCACTTAGTATACCTAAACCCAAAACTATTCAGTTTTTCGTTTTGGATAGAATAAGCAAAGGTTAAAACCACTTATTAGTGTTTTCTCTTTTTTTGCCATCTCTGTCTAATTATGGAGATTTTGCTTCACTTCCTGTTATGTAGACTCAACAGGAAGTGAGCAGTTATCTTTCCATTGTAAGAAAATGTCCTTTTAGACAGTTGCCACAGAAACAAGCATGCCCATTCGAAGATTTCCCCTTTAATCCTGTGCTGGTGGAATCTTCCAAATGTTGTATTTTTCCTTCCTTTCATTCTTGGTGACATTGATGATCAGGACATTTAGACAGAGTGAAACTTCCTAAAGGGGACACAGAGAACGATAAAATCCTGTCAGTGGTTCTAAAATCTCACTGCTCTATCCACATCCAAAAAACTTCTCGCTTTTAAATATGACATTGGTCTTTCAATTTATCTGTGAAATTGCCTTTCCAACTCATCTCTATGCATCATGGACTCTATGGTGAGGTGCATTGTCTTCCACGAGGACCCTGACCAGATACACTCACTTGTCCCCATAACTGAGTCCCATGAGTGATTCACCCAAAGCTGAGCCTTGTGCCAGCTAAACCTCAGGGGATGATTGAGTTAAGGCCTCACACATGGCCTTGATTAGTCCAGAATCCCCCAGGTTTTTCCGTGTCTCCTTTGTTATTTCCCTGGCGCTGACGCGACTCTGATGAAAACAAGATGTTTCACGGGAAATGAAAGAAGAAGAAGAAGAAAAAAAAAGATAAAATAAATTCCTTTCCAGTGCGTTTATTCCTAAAAACAAACCATAATTGAGATCAGAGGCATGGGCAGGCACTGGCTTTCAGGCTGCTGCCTCACCCAAAATCATTAAGCGCTTTATCCATAAGCACTTGAAGATCTGGCTTTGAGCATCCTCCGGTAATACAGTCAGACACTCTAGTGTTGGGTTACCAACTGGCATTTGGAAAATACATTTCTAGTGGCTCAGTATGTGGACCAGGAACTTGGTCAACAAGAGAATGATAAAAAAATGACTTGTTTGATACGATTGTAATATGATCTTTGCTATTATAATTTAATGTTACCCGATTCCATTATTTCTCCCAGTGGTGGAAATGGTACAGTTGTGCTTGTCTGCTAAAATGGCATTAGATGACTCACTGGAATATAACCTTAAGAAGCCAGTGGCTGCTGTTAAAGGTTGTTCCTTTTAAAGAAATGTCATTTACAATGCATCCAAGCAATCCAGAAAGGTCTGAAAAACGTCTTGTGGAGTTTAGAGGGAGCCTTTGAGATCTATGAATTCCCCACTTTTCCTACTGGGGCAGCCACCTTCAAGTGATTTCTTTCCTTATTCAAGCACTTATTGCAGTAGGAATACTCAAAGTCCACAGTGAGCGGGCTTATGGGAAGTTTGCATTGAAGATCTCACCTGTGGAGTTTTCTTGTCCTTGCTTTCCTCTTGTGAGGAGGATTCTATAGAAAAAGCTGTCGCTTCCTAATGCAGCTGTGGACATGGATGACTATATTGGTGATTTTTAGCACACCACCACTGCATGATATAGTCAAAGCTGTGTTTCTATTATGCCAACACCACAATAAAGGTTTTTTTACTGTTGTATAATTAGAAACTTCAAGATCCAGCATATATGCACTGTTGGAGTACAAATAACCATTCCATATCATCCCCTGGCCCATTGGAGCTTTTACTTCACCATAGTCACACAAGCAATAGGAGAATGTCCTAATTGTCTTCAGAGACAGTCCTGGGGGTTATCTAACCTAGGTTCTTTTTCCTAAAGGATAAGTTCACACCTTTGGAAACATGTTACATGTTCCACCCATTTTTGTGGTGGAACATTCAACATGCTCCAGCTCCTGCAGCTCTACCCCTGACCACCACCCTTGACATCGGGCCTATGATTATCTCCCCAAACCCACTGTCACAATATAAAAAGAACATGGCCGTGTGGGGCTCCGCCCCCACAGACGCATCATTCATTCACAGAGTTCTGTAAATTAATGAATTACATCAAGGTACAGGCAGATGGTTACACTGACAGTTTACAGGAGCCTGAAATTGCACCTGTAATCTGCTGATCTCAGGTGCAATGCTTTAAAGGGATCCTTTAAAAAAATAGTAAATGTATATTTTTTACCTGAAAAAATATGCGCATTTAATATTTTTTTAAAAAAGGTAATCTTATCCTTTATAGGCAGCAGTACTAACTGTGGAAATGTGCCTTCTCATAGATGATAAATTCAGCAAGTCATGGTCTGCAGTGTTGTAGAAAAAATCTAGAAGTATTTGTACCCAAGCAATTACCCTGATGAATGTATATTTTGTATTGTGTAGCAGTGCACTTCAGAGTATTTAACGGTTCCTAGCCACTCCTGTGCCTGCAGTCTCAAAGCTGTATCTTCATTGTGAAGCGATGGATCTGCTGTTTTTGACTGCTAGTTTCAGGAGATTTGGAGCAAAATTGGTGATGTCACTGCTGTTCTGCTCACTGTTCACCTTGCTTCAGTATCTGGCATGGGGAAGCAAGGCTCTGCCTCTACCAAGTGGCTGCTTCTACACAGTGCAAGACACGGTACAGAGCATGCTTGTTAGGTCAGTAATAGGGACAAATCCATAGCGGAGAGACCACAGGCAATACTGGTGACTAGTCTTTTGGCCCTTTTTGGGCACAACTTCCAGAGTTCATCTCCTCTTTAAATATGACATTTTTCAAAATAATGAATACTTCATTTATTGCACCTTTTACCACCACTCCTTGTACTTGTAGGTGGACAGTGACACTATCTGGAATGAGCTCCATTCTTCAAATGCTGCCCGCTGGGCTGCTGGTAGCGTGATTGAACTGGCATTTAAAGTTGTAACACAAGAATTAAAGGTATGTAGCGTGAAAGTATTTTTTATTTCAGCTGTAATTGGAGCTTCCCTGGGACCTCCTGAAAACAGTCTCTTCTTCCACTGCCATGCTGTAGAGAGCAGAAAGCGGATATTTATGTATTTATTCAATTTGGAAATACGGATAATATTTCTTTGTATTAAGTATTATTACCCACATATTGGCTGCACCTGTTTGGATGACCACTGTAATAAAATTCCATGTCTTTTTTTTTTTATGGGAGCAGACTATATTTCCTGAGCCTCAGAGCTGAATTCATAAATGTGATCCTGCTGTCATCTCATCAGGTTCTATCTTCTTTTTGCAGAATGGATTTGCTTTAGTGAGGCCCCCAGGACATCATGCAGATCCGTCAACTGCTATGTACGAAAATTTCATATTTCTACTGCTGGTATCTTAACTGTTTGTGTTTGTTGGAGCCATTTACACAATGGTGTCGTTTTTCCATAATCTAGTATCTGAAGTCAATTTAGTGTAATACTCTAAAATGTATTTAGATACCAGATACAGTGATAATCTAGTAAGTGTTGCATGTGCTACTTCACTTTTCTTAGTTCAAAATTCATTTTTATGTGTTCCTCGGTGCTTTGAAACACATTAAACTCCTGCTTACACTGCCTAATAGGCACTTGGATCTTATCTTTGTCTGTCTCCTGTATTTTCCAGGACTTGCAATTGACCCATCACTGTGATGTGTAGCACCAAAAGAGAGGAGTGAGGACATTGGGTCAATGCCAGCAAATAGGGGTTGCTTTTTGCTACCCAGGGCACCAATGTTTTGGGGGTTTCAAAAGATGAAAGGGGTTCTGCCAAAATGTTGGAGTTGTCTGCCCAGAGTGAATGGCAATTTTGTGTTTAAGCCTGAGTTTGTTTTATGACACAAGTAGACCTAGTCATAAAATTAGTAGACAAATTTCATGGTGCCAAAAAAATGTACAGTGTATCTCAGAGGAAGACTACATGAAAGCTCAACACCAGGCTACTAAAAAAAAGACCCCTTGTAGTGGGGCTATGCCTGAACTGCAAAGGTGAAGTGTTCATTTTGCTCTAGGGGAACAAAAAAGATTTACTTACCTGATCCTCCCAGCAGCAAGACAAGTCCCTGCAGCTTTTTCTCCCCGCACTCCAGCAGTCTAGGGTCCCAATGTCAGCAACACCAAAACAGGGTCCATAGCCCTGCAAAGGATGTGATAACACAGAGGGTAATCCACCACCAGGGGAAGCACCAACTGTTGGGGGAGTGGAGGATCAAGCAAGTAAAATTGAATTTGTAGTTTTTGCAGGAGTTGGGCTTTAGGTTTCTCGAGTGTGTAAAAAAAATAAGATGTTTAAATGTGTTCTGGGTTATGTATGTGTTTGCACTTGGATCATTTAGGGCTCAGAAATTCTTAAGGTATTTGTAGCGATTAGATGATTGTTACTCAGTGTTTGCCAGACGGTCTTTCATGAAAATTATCTTTTTAGCATTTGGGTTGTGTCTCCATGTTGGACCTTTATCTGGTGTGTACGGCTAGCCTTATTTTGTGTCCTGACATTTGGTTTATTGCCTTTTTCAGGGGCTTCTGTTTCTTCAACTCTGTAGCCATTGCTGCCAAACAACTGCAACAGAGACTAGACGTCAGAAAGATCCTTATTGTGGACTGGGTAAGTTCTATATACATTTGTTTTTTGTTTTTTTGCAATTTTCTCCCCTAGCTTTGTGTCTCAGGCAGAGATTGCCATCTCTTCTATAAAGACCAACTCCAACTGCATTTTTCTTGGTTCTTCTGAATTGGACAGAGATGAGGAAGATGCAGGGAAATACAGTGTGCAGCAGCTTCTTCATTCTACAATTGTTTATAGTCTCCTACATGTACCTGGTGATCTAGGAAATTACACAGAGGATTGTTAAAGAAATACATAGGCTGCATTTGCTCATTTCTTATTCAGAAAATGTAAATTACTCATACGGATCCAGTTATTTCGTTTACTGATCCAGGGAAAGTATTCTAATCCGGTGATATGTCTTCACTGACTACATCCTTGTTCTGGGCCAGTGACTCGGAAAGCACTGAACCAGTGACCAACAGAAAAAGAAAATACCTTTTTCAAAAAGGAAATCAGAATTTGTAGGCCCTATATTGTCCTCGGCAAAGCCTTTTTTGGACTTTTTGTAGGGGCTTGGAGCCAGGAGCGAAGAAAAAAAGCCTGTTCTAAATTCAGAGTTGTTGTTGTAGTTGCAGCTTTACAGAAGGCTGAGGACTGTCTACCAGCCTCCATGTGACAATACTGGTGCTTGAGAGCTGATTCACACATGTGCAGTACGGATTGAAGTTTCACAGCTAATTGATACAGTAGTTGTTCACAGGTTCACGTCAGGTTTACATCAGGTTCAGGAGGATCTTATCTTGTTCAAACATATGTGGTTTAGAAATGGTTCCCATAGAAGTCAATGGTCTGTAATCCGCACCTGAACCAGACCACACTGCTCTGAAATTGGACATAACTCTTTTTTTTAAAACTGCACTAAATTTGCACTGCCAGTGCACTGGACATATGTGAACAGGTACCATAGGAATCAGTGTTTTTTCACATGTCATGCGGATTGGATGCAGTTCAAACCGCATCAATCTGCATATATATGTGAACGGGCATTGACTGTCTACTTGCCTCGTGACAGTGCTGGGTTAATTATTAAGCATCAGCACTGTCACATGGAGGCAAAAAGACAGTCCTCAGAGACAGACAGACAGGCTTTTTGTACCGGAAATAGTGTGAGTTGCCATCCATCACAGGGTTTTGAATGGAGTGGCAGGGTAGTGAATAGGAGTATATACGTCTGCATGGGTAAAGCACAGGTTTGCTTTTGGTGCCAATTGTGAATGCGTTGTATTGGTTGCAGTCTTGTGTTGTCTTATTTTAGCATTGTGATTGGTTGATGTACACACAGCATTTCCTTTTTAAAAAGCTAGAAAGCAGCAACTTTACTGTGCAAGCACACTTGCAATCCCTATCCCCCCTTCTGCAACTCCCTCCTGAGTGTCTGGCCACCCAATACTCTGAAGGAGTAATTAAATGTTACAGCTCTTTGGAGTGGGTAGGTGGGCGTTCTAGTCCCCCATGCCTTTTTTTTTTAAGCAAAAGTCAAGATTTTGCTTTTAGCACACTAAGGTTTCGTGGACCTTTCATTGAAGTAGGCCAATAGTTTGCTATTTTATTATTAGACATGTTTGTTTTTTTTTGCAATGGATAGGTCATCATTCCTACTTTAGTTTCCTGATGTATTTTTGTGCCATTCTTGGCACTGAGTCCTGTGGCCTAGTAGTTCTTCTGTAGAATGAGGATAATGTTTTGTCTGCCTTCAGCAACATGGGTTTATAATTTTATAATCCATTGGTGGTATGGCTACTGGTTTAGGAGTAACCATAGTACTTGTGTTGTGCTAGTTTGCAGATGACCTTGTCATTGTTTAGATCAGGGTTTCTTAACTAGGGTTCCTCCAAAGGGTTCTAGGGGTTCCTTGAGAAATGGGCAATTTCTGCCTCTACCACTAACACCAACAATCTCTTTAGCTATGTGTAATGGGGTAGTTCTTTCCAATGATCCAAGTGTAAGGCACATTCTTCCCACTGACCATCTCACTAATGTATCATGAGTTGTAGATATAATCATCTTTTGCAGGGGTTCCCTGAGACTGGAACTGTATTTCAAGGGTTCCTTTGTGTTGAAAATGCTGAGAAAGGCTGGTTTAGATGGTGGGGGGTATCTAGTAGTTGGCAATGGATATCTGTGTAGTTTGTGATGTTCTGTGACTTTGGGGCTGGGGTTTTGTTAAGTCATTGATTGACATGTCTTTGGAGGCACTGCAGCTCATGTTTTAAGATTGCTTATAAAGATGTGGTTACCTGTGTGCAGTTGTGCAAATCTTTTGTGGTCTTGTCTCTGAAATAAAGGCTCTTGTACTAACATAGACTATCAACCAATATCAAGATCTAGTTCAGAGCTTGATGATGGTGATATTGGCAAATAAATTCACATGAGCTTTTGTCTCTGATTTGAATGTTTTCCGTAACTATGCACAACAGAAAGAGAGACATTGTGGGATTTCTTTGTTTCACTACCCTGAAGGAAACCCAAACAGACAGGATAGCTCTATTTTCTTGGAAAGAACTTTTAACTTTAAAAAAAAATCACTTTATAAAATGGATTTGTGGGTAATTTACTTGGAAGATCTTTTAGCAATGACGAGACAAATGTAATTTGTTTAAAGATAAACCTGATTAACAGGAGTCCTTATTCACTGTTTATTGTGTCATCATTTTCATTACCAGGATGTTCACCATGGCAATGGAACACAACGAGTGTTTTATAGGGATCCCAATGTATTATACATCTCCCTTCATCGACATGATGACGGCAACTTCTTTCCTGGCAGCGGAGCTGCTAACGAGGTAATAACCATGTCCATAATGACACTGGCCTGGCAAAGCCTTCTTTTCATCATTAACCATGATCAGCAGTAATAAACCACACTGGCAGGCCTATTTAAAATGCTGCTGTAGGCAAAAGGGAAAATCAGTCAGCAAACTACTAATGCTTTCCAGGATATACTACCAGTGATTATATTTTCTGAACTGTGCCTAATAAGAATGGGTGGTGCAGGTGGGTGGAGTCCTTAAATCTCATCTACAAGCTAACAACATTGGCAGAGTGTAGGATCTTTGTGATGTCTGTAAGTAATGTGATGATCCTGCAATTGATTTCTGTTTATTTTGGGAGCCTCTGGACCCCGTAAGTACTCTTTAAAGCAGTATTAAACCCAAAAGCAAACAATAATTATATTGCAGCTTACCATTTCATGGATGCGATGGCTACATTCATTTTCTTTTATATGCTTTATTTCTTTTATTTTCTCCTGTGATTTGGCCATCAAGTCTTTTTTTTCAACAGAACATGCTGTCCTGCAGATGTGGAAGTTAGAGAGTTGAAACAAATAATTTACCACTGACGGGTGCTTACCATGATCAGCTTTTATTTATTTATGTAAAACCTTTATCTCAAAAGCTACATAATTTTTGCTGTTACTGCTTAAAAAGTAAGAGCTGGAGTTTGGCTTCAATTTGTTAGTGTATCTAAATCTGTTAGTACATCTAACACTACCCCCCCCCCCCCCCCAGACTGGCAATGCTGCTGTCCAAAGGTGTCTTTGTTGCTCCTTCTTTCAGAGTGTAGGCACTCTAAGGCAGGGAGTATTACTGGCCAAATCACTAGGTGAAAACAGATTGGTAAGCTGCAATATATTACATTTATGGTTTTGGGTTTAATACAGCTTTAAAGAGGAACTCAGCTTCTGTCCATGCCCTGCTGCTGAAGCCAAGACCTGTCATCACAATTTAACATTCCAATATTAGAGCCTCTGTTAAAGTGCTGGATGCTGTGGTGTAATGCACGCCGCCACGGTACTTGCCTGACTGCATTGTGCCAAGTGTAAAGTTTGGTGGAGGGAGGATTATGGTGTGGGTTTTTTTTTTTTCTTTCAGGAGTTGGGCTTGGCCCCTTAGTTCCAGTGACGGGAACTCTTAAGGCATCAGCATACCAAGACATTTTGGACAATTTAATGCTCCCAACTTTGTGGGAACAGTTTGGGGATGGCCCCTTCCTGTTCCTACATAACTGCTTTGTGCACTGGTGCGCAAAGTCCATAAAGACATGGATGAGCGAGTTTGGGTTGGAGGAACTTGACTGGCCTGCGCAGAGTCCTGACCTCAACCTGATAGAACACCTTTGGGATGAATTAGAGCTGAGACTGCGAGCCACGCCTACTCGTCGGACACCAGTGCCTGACCTCAGAAATGCGCTTCTGGAAGAATAGTCAAACATTCCCATAGACACACTCCTAAACCTTGGGGACAGCCTTCCCAGAAAAGTTGGAGCTGTTATAGCTGCAAAGGGTGGGCCAACTCAATATTGAACCCTATAGACAAAGACTGGGATGTCATTAAAGTTCATGTGCATGTAAAGGCAGGTGTCCCAATATGTTTGCCAGTATGGTGTGTGTGTGTGTGTCTGTATATATATGTGTGTATGTGTTTATATATATATATATATATATATATATATATAATATATATATTACTTGCAGAGGCACGCAAAGATATCTGCACTCCGACAGTACTGTTAGCCTGAAGACACCTTGATGTACCCAACAGCTACGTTTTGAAGTGAACTTTTGCTTTGCCCATGCACTTAAGCAGCATAGTATATTCTGATATTCTGTTCAAATGCCAGAAACAAGGAAAGAAGCCCTGTACAAGCTCAGAGTCAAAGCTTACACAGGACTGAGAACTCAGCCCCATGTGATTGTCCTGGGCCAACTGCCTAGCAACTGTACTGTCACACAGAACCAGTCACAAACTCCTTCGTACTTTATAGTATTGGGCATTAAGTTTGATCCAGCCAAACGTAGAGTAGTTATAATGTGCTGAATTCTTTAACCCTTGTCTGCAAAATAATGTCATCTGCTTGGGGGTGCCTGCTTAATGTCTTTATGTGCCCACATCTGTTGAATGATGACACTTGTCACCAAGGCAAACTGATGGCTATTAGACTTACAGTGGGCATACTTTTTCTCTCTGCATTAGATCTTTTGCAGCGTCTTCTTCAAATTGCAGACAGATGGCTTAGGAACAGTTTAGGACTGACACAGCTGATTACATGCAGCCTCTACTACAGAAGGGGTGCCGGGGATGAGGGCCTGAGAGGATTTTGCATTGTAAACAGTTTATCATCATCACTTTGATATTTTGAGGAACAAAGGGGTTTTTTTGAAAAAAAAAAGGGGGAGGGAAGATGCAAAGCAGATGGGAAATAAGTGTTCCTGCCCAAAATAACTCCTTTGAAAACAACGTTATAAAAGTGATAGACAGAACACTTGCATTTTATCGTTTGAAGTCGGCAAGAGCAAGTTTCCTCTCCTGCACCGTTAACCTTTGCAGTGCATGTGGAGTCAAAGGCCTGAATATTGCAGCCATAACCATTTTATCTAGAGAAAATCCTGCTTGTTGCTGCACTATTTTGGGTGGCTGGCTTAATATGTTGAATGTTATTTCCTTACATTTTCCCAACAAATAAGTGATAAAGAGCTACTGCTTTCTGTGTAAAAAAAACCAATATATTTATAAGCGCTGATTCATTCTGCTCAGTCTTACATTCGGACATCTGTCACATCTGTTAAAGTATATGGTATAGGCTCCTAGCCCTATTTTTATATGTAGTTTACTGAATTAGCAACGAGTGTTTAGTAATAATTATCTTATAATTTAGCTGTCCCTATTACTTGTCTCTATGCAGCTAGAATGGTCTGACATATTTGTGGGCTTGCTGGTGGATATACAGTGAATTCTAAGTTTGTTTAAGCACTTCTGTGGCAGCCTAGTATTATAAAGTGATATTAAAGGCAATTATAATAAAAAAAAAAAAAAAAAAAAGTTACACTTACGTGGTTTTGCACAGGGAAGCCCCGAGCCTTCTCTTCTCGGGTCCCCCGACACCGCTCCTGTCCCCTCCCTCCTTTCTAGTGCCTGCCTTCCTGTCTGTAGCAAGCTGCTTTCTCTGGGGGTTCCCAAGCAGGCTCGCTCCCAGGCTGCTGCTCTGCATATCCATTCACACACAGAACAAAAAATCCCTATTTTTATTGAAACGATTGTTAGAAAGGGCAATTAGCAGTGTGCAGAGGTTTCCTTCGAGATTTCTAGCATTCACACACAGCCATGGCTCAGCCCCACTCCCTCTCTTTCCACATAGGCTAACTAGCTGTGATTGACAAGTGGCTCTCATACACATCATTTGTATTGTGACAGGACTCAGTTAAGTATTAGGGATGGGGGGGTTGCTGCTGCACACAACATTTTTTTACCTTCATGCATGCAAGCTACAGTTGGGAGCACTCAGAATCTGGTGCAGCTGTGCATAGTAACCAGCCAACTTCTAACTTTGACAATAAAACTTGGAAGCTGATTGATTTCTATACAGAGCTGCACCAAATTTTGCACTCTCCAGTTTTAGTAAATTTCCCCTAAAGTGTAGATATCTGCTGTTTATTGCCCTTGATTGATCATGGACATTGTCTAACAGCCTGTAGCATACAGTATTTGGCTGTCTCCTGAAAAGTAATTCATGTACCAGGCTCAGCCACAGAGAGTAATGGCCATATTCATAGTATACACCCATTTTTCTCTATGGATAGACCATGAATAGTAGACGCATGCATCTGAGGTCTGCATTTATGGTTTGCATATTGGTCAGGGGGTCTAGGTGGCAGCTTATAGGCTGTGTGCATTTCACTTAGTCTTTTCCACATCCATAATGCAGCCTAGAGCAAGATATTCACTGATTTCAGGCACATGTAGGAAATCCTTTTCCCACATAATCCGAAACCCCACCCCCCCCCTTTTTTTTTTTTTTTTTTTTTTTTTTTTTTTAGTTTTTCATTAAATATGTGACTAATGGATATTTTGGTTATCTGTAAGATAAAGAAACAAAGCTAAACTGTGGCGGCATGATAGATTAAACCCCATGTTTTCTTTTATCAAATAAGTGCCTTTTCCACTATTTAACTTGTTGCATTGATTTTCTTTCAGGTTGGTGCTAACAGTGGGGAAGGTTTCAATGTGAATGTCGCATGGGCAGGCGGTCTGGATCCTCCTATGGGTGATGCAGAATACCTTGCAGCGTTCAGGTAAGTCTGCTTTTGTCCTGTGCCCTCATCCTGTCCTTGCCCATCCCTTATTTTTCATGGTTTCCTGGCTCCTCTTCTCTGCTCCCACTTTTCACTCCTTTTCGTTTCTGTCTTTTCTGACCTTGTAGTGCATTATTAGTGCTGGTGGAATGTGCCGGATGAGGAGAGCTGGGGACTGAAGCCCTCTGGGTGTCCACAGTCACAGGTATTATTTGGGCAACATCAGTGCAGCCTTCCCTTTAAGACAACCATATCATTCTACACAGGACAGGCACAACATGAATGGCTGCAGAATAGTCCCAACCCAACACCCCTGTTCCATCAAACCCCCTACCAGTGTGCATCACACACAACACTTCTTATTAACCTTGTGCAGCCTTCCTTACAGCAAGTGGAATGGGCTTAAAATGTACAGCCATAGTGCCGTTATTTAAGGATTGATAATATTTGCATGGGGCCTACTAATCGACTGTGTACATTGTTTGGAGTGACCCTTAACCTGTTTGCTGAGAGTATAGCATGCAGCACATTGATGAGCAAAGTAAAACAAACCAGTGAACTGATCATTACAGCACTCTTTACTGCCAGCACCAGTCCACCCAGTCCTCTTTTTGCTTTCTGATTCACTGAAACTTGTTCTAGCCTCCTTTTCAGCTCATTTTGTCCAGTAATGGTGGTGATTTGCTCTGCTGTTTTACCTCTCTGCTCTTCTAGTGGCATTACTGTACTGTCAGCTTTACCTGCTGCTACTATAGTGGCATTACCACACTGTCACCTATACCCCCTGCTGCTCTTATAATGACATTGCTGTACTTTCAGTTATACCCTACTGCTGGTATAAATAGACTGTCAGCTATACCTTACTGCTGCTTTAGAGGTATTACTATGCTGTTAAATATACCCTGCTGCTTTTATAATGGAGTTACTGCACTGTCAGTTATACCCTGATATTACTAGTGGCATTACTGTAGTGTTGGCCATACCCTGCCACTACTATAGTGGCATTACTCTAATGTTGGCCATACCCTGCCACTACTATAGTGGCATAAATATACTGTCAGCTATACCTTACTGCTACTTTAAAGGTATTACTACTGTTAGCTGTACCCTGCTGCGACTCTAGCGGCAGAACGGTACTGTGCTCTATACCCTGTTCTTACAATAGTGGTATTATTGTACTGTCAGCTTCACCCTACCACTACTATAGTGACATTACTGTACTGTCATTTGTATCCTGTTACTATGCTAGTGGAATTGCTGTAGTGTTGACTATATGCTACTGCTACTCTAGTGGCATTACTCTGTCAGCTATACTTTGCTGCTTCTATAGTGGCATTACTGTACTGCCAGCTATACCCTCCATCTACTATAGTGGCATTACTGTACTGTCAGCTATACCCTCCTTCAACTATAGTGGCATCACTGTACTGTCAGCTATACCCTCCATCAACTATAGTGGCATTACTGTACTGTCAGCTATACCCTCCTTCAACTATAGTGGCATCACTGTACTGTCAGCTATACCTCCTTCAACTATAGTGGCATCACTGTACTGTCAGCCAACTATAGTGGCATTACTGTACTGTCAGCTATACCCTCCTTCAATAGTGGCATCACTGTACTGTCAGCTATACCCTCCTTCAACTATAGTGGCATCACTGTACTGTCACTATGTCAACTAGTATCACTGTACTGCCAACTATCCAACTATAGTGGCATCACTGTACTGTCAGCTATACCCTCCTTCAACCATAGTGGCATTACTGTACTGTCAGCTATACCCTCCTTCAACTATAGTGGCATCACTGTACTGTCAGCTATACCCTCCTTCAACTGTGCCAACTATACCCTCCAACTTCATCACTGTACTGTCAGCTATACCCTCCTTCAACCATAGTGGCATTACTGTACTGTCAGCCATTAACTATACCCTCCTTCAACTATAGTGGCATCACTGTACTGTCATCTATACCCTCCTACCACCATAGCAACATTACTGTTTTTTTTTTAGCCGAACCCTTTTGCTAGTCTAGTGGCATCACCAAACTGCCAGCTATAACCTGCCCTTGCTGTAGTGTTATCACTGAACCATCATCCACACCTTGCTGCTACTATAGTGGAGTTACTGTACTGTCATCTATACCCCACCGCTACTATAGTGATTGTACTGTACTGTCATCCATGCCCTGATTCTATTAAATTAGCATTATGTTTGTTAAATCTGTACCCTGCTGCTGTATAGTTGCATTATTGTGCTGTCAGCTATACACAGCTGCTATTACTGTCAGCTTCTAGATTCATTCTGGCCTGTCTAGCCATACACCACTGTCAGCAAGTATAGATTAATGTTTTAAATGCAGAAAGCTACATCTCCCACTTTTGTTTAATAAGCAGTCATGATATCCATCCAACAACCATCACACATTAATCTCAAGTTTTCTTCTATGGAAAGAAACATCTCTGGCATTTGGGTTTGCCTAAACAATCATTTTCTTCTGATAATACCCAATAATCTTTGCAAAATATAAGGGATTAAAAGAAATAAGCTGCTCTGAAGTCCCACTGACATGACACTAAACTTCTAGAAGTATAAAACTGGGAAGGAAGGAAGAAATGAGATTAAACAGTTGGAGCTAGTTTGCTTTAACCGACACAAAAGACCGGCTAAATACAGCTGCTAGTCAGGTGCTTGCCTTTAATCTGGTACCAGCATACCAGCAAATATGATAGCTGGACCACATATGCTTTAGGACTCTTGCGCACAGTACTGATGTTTTAGTATCTGCTTTTTTGGACGTGATTTCAGGCGTTTGTTTTGCGCGTATTCGCGCCTATTTATGCAAGTTCGTGCATTTGCGTGCGCAGTATGTTAGGGAAAATTCAGTAATGCTTATGCTCATATGCGTGTATTTGCATGTGGCATACATTAATGACCAATAATGTAGATTGTGCTATTTTCTTTTACTGAGGATTACGTGGCACTTATTTACGTGCCTGTGTGCACAGGCACATTGTAAATAATGGGCTACATTTTACCTCAGTAAAAAAAAAAACCACTGTACTGAGCTTATTCAAGCTGCAGTATGCAAGAGGCCTAATATGGTCACAAACTTCAACCTTCTGGTTTTCACTTTCTATAGTAAGACAGCTTTACAAGTTCATCGATCACGTTTCTTTCATTAGATCAGGTACAAGGTATGGGCTTTCAGTTGGAGAGCTTTTGCATGTTGCATTGTGAACCACAAGTTAATCTGCCATGGTGGGAGGTCCCATTTGCACCACTTGACTTGTTGCACCCCAAATACGAACGTAACATGTAAAATGAGGCAAACGGTAGAGGTGTTGCCTTTAAGTAATTGTGCTTGTATAGCATAGCTCATTACTTATTTAACATTTTCTGTTTACAGTAAATGTACCTGAATCATAGCAGTGAATTGACACTTAGTGGCCAATTTATAATGGAGAGCCGATATCAATATGTTATACTCTTCTAGGTTACACTCACTTTACTGTTCCATGATTTCTGAAGAGATAGTTATGTGATTTTGTCAGGTCACATGACTGTGCTTTCCTCCTGGCTTTTTTTCCCCTTTAAATTCAGAAAAGTAGTTGGGTTTGAAATACTAAAAGTCGTGGAGCAATAAGCACGTTTTAAAAGCACTGTCCTTTCTGTCTAGTATTACTGCACAGCAGTTATGTCTTAGGGCTTACTTACTCTTGCTTTGACTTCACCGATAATGTGTTATCTATGTTACTACCTACTTGTCTACAGTGCTTGACCTCTGTCTTTCATATGCAGAGAAATATGGGATGTTAATATAAAAGCAGATGTTATGCACTCATACTAGCAGCATGCAATATGTAGCCCAGTTAAAAGAAAATTCAGGGTTTTTTTGGCATGAAGTTCAACTTTAAAAATATTTCAACTTTGCCAATCACGGTTTCTTACAACCTCGTACAATTCTGAAGATTTTATAATACTCTCATCCTCATTGGTTTAAATCTTAATTACTTGCGATCCAAAGCAGTAACAGATTTTAGAGTGCAGTTGCAACATTTTTGGCCAGCTTTAGCTCTCCAGTCATCTACCAAAAACTTCTAAAAATGGATTTCAAGGGCCATTCCACCCCAAAAAACACCAGTTCTGGTTTTGGTAAGTTCAGGCAAATTGAATGACTGTGGCTCCTTTTATCTAAGTGGCAAGTTCCGCATGAAGATCTTTGAGCTCGGATGTCTATCCAGACCACCATTGCTGTATAGTTAGCCACCTCCATTGAAGTTGTAATTTACTATGTCATGTGGAGGAAACAATAGAAAAAGTGAGACCCCCCCCCCCCCCTGATTCAGCAGATAGTTCCTGGATATGGTCAAGGTGCCCTGGACTCTCTCTCTAAGGTAGGGAGATGAAAGGAAGTGGTGACTGGTTCAAATTGCTGAAATATCAGTTCTGGATGAGGTGATTTCTTTAGGACAATGCACGTCTTGTTTCATTTTTGTTGACTGCTGGTGCTATAAATCTCAGTTGTGAATGAGTTAAATGGAATTTTTGATGTGACTGTTGCAGCGTCTTAATTCTCTTCCACATTATGAGATTGCCTCTTCCTGCCCAGCAGCCCCCTTCCCTCTATTCTACATCTGGATCCGTTTTACATGAAAGGCATTCTATAAATAGGTTTTCTGCACAAAGAAAGCATGATTCCGCTCACAGCTTTACTTATTTCCTTGTTGCTGCCTTTCATGAAGCTCCTTGCTGATTATTAGATTGTCAGCTCTACATGGTAGCCAAGTGACAAGTTGTGATGGAATTCATATCCAATCATTTTATTGAATGGGTCACCAGAGCAGTGTACAGAAAGCAAAGAGTTGGACCCGGAAATTGATTCATAATTGAAAAGCGGAAGGTCTTTTAAGTTGGGACTCCCCTGTCACTTGAATATAGTGAAGCCAGGTATTTCAGCACTGTATGAAATATATGTGTGGGAATGGGACCTGTCAGTTTGCTAGAATCAGTTTAGGAGACTGACCTTTCATCTGAGCTTATCAATTAATACTAGTTTGCTAGAGCAAATGGTATTTGGGATTTACGTATCAGTTCCAGTAAAAAACACATTTCAGTTATTGGTTGATGCTGGAGAGTTAATTAAGGTATTCCCTTGATATTATGTCTGAATAAGTGTCATGGCTATTATAAGGCGGTGCCACTACCATCCTCCCCTTTCCCCCATCATGTATTATTAGTATGTAATTATTTAATTATTGACTGAAGTATTGCTTTTAGGTGGGCTAACCTTTTAGGGTGCATGTACTCCAGGTTTTGCATTGGAGTTGCTTTACTTCTCTATAGACATTGATGTGAATACAAAAGCAAGTCAAAGTAGCAACACCTTGACCTACAGAAAGGGAAAATCAAAGAAATTGAAATATGTCAAAGCATCTCAGAAGCTTCTGAAAGCGTACAGATCCCATAGGCTAACAGAAGCATACATCATTTGACATGTTTCCAAGTCTGAAGTCTATGTACACAAACACTTATGGTGTTAGCAAGTTATACTTGTGTACTTGACTTCAGCTATGTAGCGTACAGACTGGTGCACATATCCACCAGTGTGGAGAAATAAGCTCCTGGGAATTTGTGGGATGCATATGGACAGTTAGGCTTTTACTGCTCTTCCCTAAGGTACAAACAATGGGATATGGAAAAGTTGTGGTTAGTAAATGATCCCTAAAGTTGAATTCCAGGAATTTAACACTATAGTTTTTTCTTTAAGGCCATCACACTAGTTAAATGTAACAGTTATATTCTTATGCTGAGCTTCATTATTTTTTGTGCAGATTAGCCTGGAGCAAAAGCAAGCTATTAGTGTATAACAATATGATACCAGAGGCAGCTTAGCTTTGTTATCTGGTAAATTGTGAATTCAATTGTTTAATTGCTAAATACATGTTCTACACTCAGCATGTCCTTTTTTCCTTTTATCTCTTTACAGGACTGTGGTGATGCCAATTGCTCATGAATTCTCTCCAGATGTGGTCTTGGTATCAGCTGGTTTTGACGCAGCTGAAGGACATCCAGCTCCACTTGGAGGATATAAAGTGACGGCTAAGTGTGTAAGAGCAGGCTAGATTTTGAGTTCTAAGATATAAATGATAAAATTATTTACTTTTCAATTAGATCCTGAACTCTTCCTTGCTTCTGTGTTTAGGTTTTGGTCATATGACACGTCAACTTATGAGTTTGGCTGGTGGTCGAGTGGTTTTAGCTTTGGAAGGTGGCCATGACTTGACAGCAATATGTGATGCCTCTGAGGCATGTGTATCCGCTTTATTGGGCAATGAGGTGAGTACAGTGTTTCACCTGTAAATATTCTGTCTATGGTAGCAAATGCTGTGCTGCAAGCCTTCCAGCAATCAGAACCAAGTTGTCATGTAAAAAAAAATGTGCTGAAGTGTGCTACTTTACTCAAAAATGGACACTGTTTGTTCCAAGTATCCTGGGTCCATCCAAATAACCAGAAACACTACGCAGGCGTCTTGGTATGCTGGTATGCCATGCGGGCCTGCTGATGCATTTCGAAGGGGGTTCCTGCTTTTTCAGAGCTTTGAAGAAGAAGGGATCCCCCCCTCTAAATGAGTCAGTGTCAACAGGCCTGAAAGGCATCTTCCCAGCACATCAAGTGACCTACATAGTGGTTCCAGTTGTTCTCCATTTGGCTTTGTGTGATGAGCCATTTGCTTATGGTGTTTGTGAGTATAATCGCCTATTTTAATGTTTAATGATTTGGTGATATAAGTTAATGTGCCCTCTGTTTGTTTGTTTTTTTACACCAAGCTATAATTTTTTTTTAATTCTTGTAAGCATTGGTACAGCTTGGCAGTTTGCAGAAAATCTAAACTAAAGTTGGTTTGCTTCTATGCCCACTGAGGACCTTTCAAGTCCTTCCTACCCCTCGCTCTCTATCCTTCTCTTCTTTTGAGAGACACTCTATTCGGCTGTTTTCTCCCATTTCTTCAAGGATTGCAGTCATCTGTCATCCTCCTGGACCCGTGTCCCGCTTTCTTGATGACTTCTCTGCCTGGCTACCCTACTTTCTCTCCTCTGAAATACCCACTATCATTCTTGGTCATTTTAACATCCTCATTAATGTTAACAACCCAGCTACTTCCCAACTCTTCAACCTAACTTCATCTTTTGCCCTAAGACAATGGACACAGTCCTCCACTTACTCTGATGGGAATACCCTAGACCTTGTTTTCTCCCATTTTTGCACCCCCTACAACCTCACAAACACCCCCTTTCCTCTCTCTGATCACAATCTCATCACCTTCACAGTGTCCTCATCTTTAAGCACCTATCCTTTCAAGCAGAAAATAATCACCCGCAGAAACCTTCACAACTTTAACCTTCTCTTTTCTACTCTTCAATCGACCACCTCTATGACAGAAACTCTCCCCTGTCCTGCCCTGACCTGGCCACTGCTGTCTACAACAGTTCACTTTCATCCACACTAGACTCAAAGAGGTCTCTAAAGTTGTCTTAGAAGCCCATCTCACCACCTGCCCCCTGGATCCTGTCCCCTCACAACTACTACGGTCACCTTCTGCTTCTATCCTATGGTCCCTCACTCACATCTTCATTCTCTCCCTCTCTACTGGCACCTTCCTCTCCCCTCTAAAGCATGCACAGATAACTCCCATTCTTAAAAAGCCCTCACTGGACCCCACCAACCTGAACAACGTAAGGCCCATCTCCCTGCTCCCGTTTACCTTTAAACTCTTAGAACACCTAGTCTTCAATCGCCTGAGCTCCTACCTCACTGACAACAACTTTCTTGACCCTCTATAATCCGGCTTTCACTCACTACACTCCACTGAAACTGCTCTACTAAAACACTAATTTTTGCTGCTCTACTAAAACACACTGATTTACTAACTGCTAAAACCAATGGCCACTACTCCATACTCTTACTACTTGACCTCTCTGTGGTTTTTGATACTGTTGACCATACCCTCCTAAAAAAAAAAAAAAAACTCCATTCTCTTGGCCTCTGAGACTCTGCTCTCTCCAGGTTCTCCTCCTACCTATCGTAGTGCTCCTGCTCTCCACTTTCTCTTTCTGTAGTAGGGATCCCTCAAGGTTCTGTCCTTGGACCCCTTCTTTTCTCCATCTACTCCTCCTCCCTTGGCCACATTATGTAAACTCCCATGGTTTCAAGTACCATCTCTATGCTGATGACACACAAATCTATCTTTCTACCCCTCACCTCACCCCTTCAGTCTCCTCTCGCATCACTAACCTACTAAGTGACATATCATCATGGATGTCACTCCACTTTCTGAAACTCAATCTTTCTAAAACTGAGTTCATAATATTCCCTCCAGCCCATCTCCAGGACTTCTCCAGAGCCTCCCCCATCCTCTGGAACTCTCTACCCTCAATCTATCCGACTATTGCCTACTCTGCTCACTTTTAGGCGATCCCTGAAAACCTATCTCTTCAGGGAAGCCTATCCTGCTTTCAGCTAATAACCAAATCTTCTATTTCTTCCATCAGTTCATCCCCCACAGTTACTACCTTTCGTACCACTAGCCCTTCCCTCTTATATTGTAAGCTCCAAGAAGCAGAGCCGTCCTAACCCTCTTGTATTGAACTGTATCATTGCTGTGTTGTCTCCCTTTATATTGTAAAGCGCTGAGCAAACTGCTGGCGTTATATAAATCCTGTATAATAATAATAATAAACTTTTACTACCCATCTTAGAAGTGTTTTATATAACTCCCTACACTTGGATACACCAATTATTTAACATGCACCTTTAGATTTGTTGATAACTATATGCTATAAAGAAGGCAGGTAGGAAATGTAGTTTTTTTGTTTTCTATGAAAACTGAATACCATGGACGGGCACCTCAGTTAATGCTGTAGGACAAAAGAACAAATCCAACCATACCTGAAAGCTGAGCTGTACCTAAACTGTACATGTTGTTTATTTTTATGTTTGAATATACAGTAAATTGCAGGTCTTATCATTAATCAGAGGCATTAGCAAGTTAAGCCCCTGTTGTCTCCCATTTATTGATTTGGAAATCATATGAATTGATGTTGCCTAGTACAATCATTCAGGCTTGCCCCTTCATTTTCAGACCTGTACCAATGACAACTGGAATTTGGTTGGCTTTGACTTGTGCAGACAGTTCCCCTTCTAGATGCTTTAATAACTAAGCCCCAGTGTTGTTTCATAGCTTCAAGAAGATATTTAATATAGATCTCACTTGGAGAGGTGTTTATTATGTCCTTCTGGGAATAGTTTGTTGTTCTGTTCAATACCAATAATTATCTTCCATCCACTTCCAGCTGGATCCCCTCCCCGAAGAAACTCTGAGGCAAAGACCCAACCCCAATGCTGTGCGATCATTAGAGACTGTTATTCAAGTACAGAGTAAGTCTGGTCTTGGGTTGGGGGTTGCACATTTATGGAGCAGGAAGTCCCTCTGTCAGTGAAGGCTGTTTGCCACGCAGTGCTCTGTACTATAATGCGTGGCAAGCACTTGCAGCTGGAAAGCACTCAATGACTTTTCTACATAAATCTGGAAGACATAACTTCAAAGAGTCCGTCACAAGGCTCCCCACGTGATAAATCAGTCACAAATGTTACTAAGATCTCATTTCAATTAATACCAGAATTTAATGAGAAATCGGCAGCTATAGAATCCTCAGTAAACTGTGTCTGAGGTAGATAATTTGGCCAAAACGAATGAAATATTTCAGCAACAGCCTATAAGTATTCAAACCGCACCCCCACCCCATCCTCAGTGATCACCCCTGGAGGCAAGGACAATGTGGATGTTATGGTTGTCTTACAGTATATATGATGTAGCTGTGTTATTTAGCCTAGTGGCTTATGAAACAAATTAAAGTCCATGTTATATTTTTTCAGGCAGCTATCGCAAAAAGTTTAACGAATTAGGGCTCCGCAACACTGTGGGGTTTATGTACTAAAGCTGGAGAATGCAAAATCAGGCTCACATCTGCATAGAAACCAATCAGCTTCTAACTTCAGCTTGTTCAATTAAGCTTTGGCAATAAAACCTGGAAGCTAATTAGTTTCTATGCAGATGTGAGCCTGATTTTGCGTTCTCCAGCTTTAGTAAATAAACTCCTTTGTGATTGGAAATCATGGCTGTTCTCAAACATTGATTCTTGGCTGTACAACAAGTATAGGGTCCCATGATCATTTATATCAGGTCATAATACCACAGTTGTTTGTGACCATTGTAAGGTCTCTGTAAGATGTGAGCAAAGTGATACTTTACTGGCAAGCACGAAGGAGTGGTCCTTTCCCACCAAAGAATGGTAATAACACATGAATTACTTCATTGCACATTAATTCATGTTGGTGCTCTACAGTGCTATTCACTTTTAATGGTTCCCCAAGGCACCGGTGTTGCTGTGCATTGCTAAAATGCTGCACGCACACTTTTTGGTCTATTGTAATGTGTTAAGCAGCCCATTTAAATGCACGTTAATATACAATACAGCATGTGCATTTAACGCACCCAGCAGGCCAGGCTGGTGGGAATGGGCCTTTATGGGTATGCAGTAGCAATACTGAGAGATGTTTCATATTCCGCTAAAGTGAATGTATTGCCAAAGGTGTTTTGTTTTGTTTTTTTTTAACTTTTGGATAGAGTAGGTTAAAATTTGAAACCCTGTCATGTGTGTGTTTTTTAATTGCTGTCTATGTTCCCGCTGGGTAGGCTTTGCCTTTATTGGTCTGTTTATCAATGTTTTCACCCACTATTTATAAAACTTTCACCAAAGATTCACACTTTTTTACATAGGATTTATTCAAATTTTATGTCCATCACAGAGCATGAGATGAGGAATGTTTTTCAGTGGGGGACATCTAGGAATTCCCCTCACTTTGTAAAGATTTAGTTTCCCATATGGCTGCCTCTTCAGAATAGGATGCAAAACAGGACACAGACAGCAAAAAATAAACGGTGGTCTTAACCCATCACTTCTCTATCCAGAAAAAGGT